CACCCTGACATCAAGGAGGTGTAACAGAAACACCCTGACATCAAGTTGGTGTAACAATAACACCGTGACATCAAGGAGGTGTAACAGTAACATCCTAACATCAAGTTGGTGTAACAATAACACCCTAACATCATGTTGGTGTAACAGTAACACCGTAACATTGAGGAGATGTAACAGTAACACCGTAACATCAAGTTGGTGTAACAGTAACACTGTAACATCAAGGTGGTGTAACAGTAACACTGTAACATCAAGTTGGTGTAACAGTAACACAGTAACATCAAGGAGGTGTAATAGTAATATCCTGACATCAAGGTGGTGTAACAGTAACACCGTAACATCAAGTTGGTGTAACAGTAACACCGTAACATTAAGGTGGTGTAACAGTAACACTGTAAAATCAATTTGGTGTAACAGTAACACCATAACATCAAGCTGGTGTAACAGTAACAGTGTAACATCAAGTTGGTGTAACAGTAACACTGTAACATCAAGGAGGTGTAATAGTAACACCCTGACATCAAGTAGGTGTAACACTAACAGCGTGACATCAAGGAGGTGTAACAGTAACACCCTAACATCAAGTTGGTGTAACAGTAACACCCTTACATCAAGGAAACACATGAACAAATGAACGAATAAACTTTATTTTCAAAGGGTCACAGAATATTAGCTTATTGGAGTGTCAACAACTACACCCCAGCTTCAATGAGATATATCAACATTTTAACATCATGGAGGTGCAACACTTTAGCTTTAAGGAGTTCTAACATGACATTCAAACATTAAAGAGTTGTAACATTAACACTTAGGTATCAAAGAGTTGTAACATCAACAATTAAGTATCAGAGTTGGAACACCAGCAATTAAGCACCAGAGAAATATAACACTAATATTTTAGCATTAGAGAGATAAAACATTATCCTAGCTTTTAAGGGTTTTAACACAAACATGTTATAATCAAAGAAATCCCCCGTGTGGGTTCCGGGGCCCCATTGTGGGGAAAACAAGAATAGACCCACTGCCTCCCCAAAAGCATGTCGTAAGAGTCGACTAATTGGGGAGCTTCCTTTGAAGTCGGAGTGCATCTGCCGGAGAGGCAAGGAACCAACAGTGTGTATTCAAGAGAATGAGATCTGTAAAACTGATGCACACGCAACACTCAGCTTCTGGAGCAGGACTGCAGTTCAGTAGTGGATGAGCAACCAGAACCTTCCGCCAGAGTTTACAGCTGGTGAACGCGAAGAAGAAGAAGAAGATAATCAAAGAAATATAACAGTAACAAACTAGCATAAAGGAAATGTAACAACATTCTTGCTTTACAGAGAAGAAACACCAGTACCAACATTCTAGCCTAAAGCTGTAAAAAAACCAACATTCTAGCTTAAAGCTGTAAAAAAACCAACATTCTGGCTTAAAGCTGTAAAAAAACCAACATTGTAGCATCAAAGATTTGTAAACCAGCATTCAAAAATCAAAGAGAAATAACAGTAACATCATCATCATCATGTAGCAGGTCCTTTGTAAAACGTCGCTTTCATCACTGTCTGCCTGAAAGAAACTTTGTCTCTCGCCAGTTGTCCTGCCGCATGTACTTTCATATTCAATTAGTCACTTACATCCTGTGCCCATCTTCGTGTTGGTCGGCCTCTGCCTTCTGCTATATTTTTTTCCATTCCGCTATGGCGCTTGATATGACCAAAATATTTCAGCTTCTGAGACAAGTTGCTGTTTATTATTATTGTATTTTTTGTGATGAGGTGCTTTGTTTGGGTGGCCCACGCTTACAGCAAGCCGAGCAGAAAACCTGTGCAAGAGACGAAAGCACGTGATAGTTGAAGCTGGAGATATGAACTAGGCAAAACCCGAGGCTGGCTCATGGTCAGTTCGGAACCAGAGCTTGAAGAAGACAGTTGCGGTGGTGTGATGTAGTTTAACTGCAATGTATTAAGCATTGTCTAAATGATTGTAGGATTTCTGTGGAAGCGAGTAGCGATGTCTGTGATCGAATGAACGGTGACTGTAACGAGTGGTACAACCAGATGAAATAATCTGGCAGAAGTTGGTGTCAGAGATTGAGCGCTGTTCGATGTTATTCATTGTGTGAGCCCTAGTGAGCCAGATATAATGCTAAAAGCTTTAGTACATATATTTATTACTTACATTATTATTTTTTAAATTTTTTTTATTATTCATCAACATCCTAGCATAAAATAGATGTAACTAGACTTGCAGCACAGACATGTAACTACATTCTAGTACCAAAAATATTTAAGAATAAAATTCTAATATCACAGAGAAAAAACTTGTCATAGAGATTAACACCAACATTCTAGCATGAAGATGTGAAAATATGAGCATGTTACATGAAAATATGTTATTTTAAAATGTTACGCAACAGTATTACATGAACATCAGAACATAAATGACATTACATCAACACACTGCATGAAAGAGTTTAATGAAGATATGCAGGACAGATTGCTAAAAGCTTTCTCAGATGTGGCAAATTGTTGTGGTGAAGAACAATTTTTTTTTTCCAGAAAATTTTTCTTTCTTGAAATCTTATCTAGACAAAAGGAATTTCTGATAAGAAGAACTATTTCTTGGGTCCCCGGTGAGTTCTACTTATCCGGTCTGCACTGTAATATGAACCTATTTCCAAAAAATATTCTGAGAATTGGAAAACACAAAGCTATCTATGAACACATTACACAAGAATAATTGTGAAATACAAAGTATTCCGTCAACACATTACACAAGAATAATTGTGAAACACAAAGTATTCCGTCAACACATTACATAAGAATAATTGTAAAACACAAAGTATTCCATCAACACATTACAACACGAGAATAATCGTGTAACACAAAGTATTTTGTCAACACATTACACGAGAATAATTGTGAAACACAAAGTATTCCGTCAACACATTACACTAATGTAATTGTACAACACACAGTATTCCATGAACAAAGTACACTAAAATAATTGTGAAATACAAAGTATTCCATGATAATGTAATATTAACATAAATGAGGATATTATTTGAAAGTGTTACTGGAATATACAGTGTATAAGGATTATCCACGGGTGTTCAAGAACATACATTGTTAGTTACAAAATCACTCACCTGGTTCTGGGACATGAAAAAAGGGGATTATTAATAGGCACTCAATATGCTGCGAGGTTTGACAAAGGTGCCTTTGCTTGACCCATGAACATATAATAAAGAAATTTATTGAACTATTACATAAACGCATTACATGTAAGGATTGTACAGTTTTTTCATGAACATATAATATGAACACAAATAAAATTATGTGAATAGTTTACCTGAAAGCAATTTGTGAATAGAGGTTATGAACTTAACACATGGTTTTGATTTTTATTTTCCATCTCAGAGATGAGATCATTAAAAAAATTGTAAAAATCACCAAAGTTTGGCATTTTTGGGCAGTTGGGGGGGGGGGGGGATAATAACATCCGTGTCCAACTGGTGACCCTCACAATTGCTCCGTTTCTGTGCTAACGAAAACCATAAAAAAACTCATGTTCTGAGGTGAGTGCGATGAAGACAACTGTAGTTCTGGCAAACCGGCTGTTTGCTGATGCATATAAATTCAGGCTTTCGAATGTAAGTGCTACTGACTCATTTTACGAATTAGTTATTTAGAACATAAAAGTAACAAATATATCATAGACAAAGTATACAAATTTGCAGGACATCTGGAGCCTCTCTTGGCAGTGGTGAAACGTCACAAGTGAGCTTGATTTGGGCACGTGGTGAGACATGATTTGATTGTAAAGACTGCTTTAAGGAAAACTGGGGGGGGGGGGGGGGGGGTATTCGAAGAAGAGGAGGGCAAAGAAGAAACTGGAATGACAACATCGAGAAATAAACAGGACTAAGTTATCTTTCACTTATTCATCAAGTGGAAGACAGAGAAACATGGCGGGTTTTATGTGCTAGTGCTTCCATCGATACACCTCCACGACCCTAACGGGTCAAGTGTTATGTTATGTTATATAAATGCAAAAGGTAGTCGCCAGAATGCCAACACCAACTGCCATGCACTTACACCTGAAGTTAGATTAAACAATTTGAGAGCCTGAATGAATTATGTTAGTGATGAAGACCTTCTGTTCAAGCGAAAGCCAGAGCAGACGTGAAGTATGTATGTAGCACAGACATACACATCAATAAATGTCACTCATAAAGAAACTTGTACAGCCAGTTTGTCTGAATGACAGTTTGTCCCCTGTGGGCTGCTACCTGAGAGGTTAACACTCATCTGACCCAAAAAGTTGCAATCTGGATGTCAATCCAACAGGGCAAAACTTATATTTCTCATTCAGCTTTTGAGAAAGTTATAATTATGGCACTCATAACATCGGGAGCCACGGCATTGCAATTACTAGAGGCTTGCTCCTTGACCCATTCATGAAAGGTAAATTATCAGACAACATAAAACATGTAAGGACGGGTGAATTTGGAATTAAGCGTGGATCCGGCCAACAAGGATGTACAAGAGTGAGAGTAGAGCACGTATACAACCGGTGTGCTATTAGGACATTAGCATCCACACCAGAAAACATTTGCTGGGGGAGACGGAGCCTCTATGTGTATGCACACTGTTCTATGGTGTAGATTTTTAAATCAGTAAATTGTCAACCCAAAGTCCTGGGTTCAAATTCACAAGTACATTTTTGTTATTTAATTTTAAAAAACCCAGTCTAAAATGGATGCCAGGTGCACATCTGCAGTTACAGAATCCAACAATGTATTTACAGAATGGGATATAAAAGAGATATCAGTAATTTTCTCAGAACTTGTACTGCTAGACTGTCACACAGCTCCTGTAGATGTCCTGTCTTGGTAAAAGTATCTTGATAAAAGTGTCTTGATAAAAGTGTCTTGATAAAAGTGTCTTGATAAAAGTCAGGTGGGAAAATGAAAGCTGCACAACAGTAAACAAAGACTGTCGAAGAGTTGTTTGTCAGCAATCAACTTCCTGCTCATTCTTCCAGTGTCTTGTTCGTTTCTTGCTCTCTGAACAAGAAAACAACAAAATGAATCACTATCAACTTCACAAAAATAAGATATTCAACACAATATATAGTGTTATTTTATATATAAATATATATATATATATATATATATATATATATATATATATATATATATATATATATATATATATATATATATATATATATATATATATATATATATATATATATATATATATCTTCTTTTTTTTCTTCACGTTCACCAGCTTTAAACTGTGGTAGAAAGTTCTGTTTGTTCATCTACTACTGGACTTTGGTCTTATTTAAAACCTGGGTTTTGCACGCATATCTGTTTTACAGATCTGGAGGGAATGCAAATGTTTTGATCTGGTGACACTTTAGTCAGGTGTAGTTACCTGAAATTATCTGGCAAGATTATTTCATACAGACAAGTATAAACAACATGGACATTCTACCTTTTCTCTGTTTGGATGAATCATGAGACCTTGAATTGGCAACTGTATTTGCACTTGCTTCTTCCTCTGTGATGATATTTTTAGGCAACCTGTGAATGTTCACAAACTAGATGAGTTAATCAGAAAATATGAAACAAACAATAATTAAGGTTCCAACAGCATATATTCCCCATGTGCATTCTGGGGCCAAATAAACCTCAGATGTTACAGCCTAGCTGTAAATACGATACAACATGTCAATAACACATTTAAAGATGAAGGAAAAAGAAGAAGAAATAGTTGAGATGATGTTGATAACCAGTAGACTGTCTTTGACTCAACTAGAATTTGCAACACGATAATAAACCTGACTTCCACTAGGTCAGCCTCTGTTATGTCATCAACCCATCTTCTCCTTGGGCGCACTCAGATCTTGATCCGTGGGTTGTTGATATGGCTACATTCTAATGAGATGACCAAACCATTTGCTTTTCTGTTTCTCAATGAATTTGGTGCACAATGTTGGTGAAACAGTGCTATGTTGAAAGTTGTCGGCTCATTAGGCGCATTCTGTACCCAATGTTAATGTTTTATTTTAGTCGCTGACAGCACTGATACAGATGATGATATTTCTACACCATTTGTGGACATACATCATTCTACTCCCAGTAACAATGTGCTCGTAATCTGTCGCAGGTATCATATTGATTTTGTTATTTTATTATATTCATCAGGAAGTTTAGTCACGTAAAGGACCCTTTTCCATCCTTTCAGGCGTACTGGGCATATAGGGCACGATTTTATAGACCAATCTGCACTCTGTGGTTGATGTGGTCAGCATCACACTGGCTGCTTTTACTTCCCAGACTGTACCTGGTTCTTATTTAAGACTAGGAGCCAAAGTCATTAAAAAAATTAGTCCGGCTCTGTCAGGGTCTCAACCCAGTGACATTTGGATCCACAGGCAAGTGCCTAGCCACTACACCATGGCAGTGTAGAACAAGGAGAATATAACTGCAGACAGGTTCAGAGTTGAGCATCCGAGACCAAACTTGTTAAATACATGCTACGGCAACCATGGTTATGAAATGGTTACCACAGCCAAGAGGAGAAGCCTGGATGTTTCAAAAGCGGTGAGGCCCTCAAAGACAACTTAACACAAATATCAGAAAGAGGCTGTCCTCATGTTTGGTCACATTATGAGAAGAAGGAAAATGGAACATGTTGTGACCACTGGAAAGATTTGTGGAAAAAGAGACAGGAAGAAAATGTGAGAAGATTCTTGACAGCATTTTATGAGTTGAGTTGAGTTGAGCTGATTCAAGAACTGACATCACACCACTCAGGGCATTCCCAAAAGCATTCCATCCCCATCTTCAGCAGCCAGTGCAGAGTTCCAAACCCATAGTACCAGCAGCATTCTTATTATATATCTGTCTTACCTTTCCTCTGAGCATCAAGTATTGGCCAGTTCTTCTTGTCACTCCCAGCTGCATCAATCTCACCAGACTGTGGTGATCCATTTGTTTCTCTGAATTGTACACGCTCTCCCACACGCCCCTAACCATGTCTGCTTGTTCATGCATCAATATTCCACAAAGTTGTGCAGAGCCAGCCAGTCTGTCCACCTGTTTATTTCCCAACACACCAGTGTACCCCAGAGAAAACTACAGACAATACTCCTCACCCGTGACCTCCGCAGTGAAGCGGTGTCAGCACATAGACAGGTGTCAACACATAGACAGGTGTCAGCACATAGACAGGTGTCAGCACATAGACAGGTGTCAGCACATAGACAGGTGTCAGCACATAGACAGGTGTCAACACATAGACAGGTGTCAGCACATAGACAGGTGTCAGCACATAGACAGGTGTCAGCACATAGACAGGTGTCAGCACATAGACAGGTGTCAACACATGAACTGATACATGCAACTAAAGATCATAGATGATGGAGCGGCATGATGGCCCACACCAACTGACAAGCACTTCATGATGACGTATGATTATGTATATGATTGTGTGTATGATTGTGCAAATGATTACATGTAGAGTTATGTGTGATTGTGTATGTGATGACTTTTGTACATTAAGTGCATTAAAGTAGTAGTATAAATAATTTATTGCACAATTGTGTGAAAGATTGTGGGTAAATGATTGCAGGTACAGGTTTGTAAATGACTGTGTATACAATCATGTATACAACTGTGTGAATGATTGTGTGCATGCCTGCTACTCACAGGTCCTCAGGGAAGAGATGTGCAAAGTCAATATCTTTGCTGGATGGGACACCTTCGTTGAGTTTTCGATGCACCAGATATTTTTCCTGGGATAAAGGAAAAAGGATAAAGTGAACATGTTTCTTGGATAGATGCACAAAGTGTGTTCATATAATGACATAATAATAGGAGTATAATAACATACATTTTAATTGCATAACATATCAATATATAAGGTATTTGCTTACACCAAGGAAGCCAGCAGGGCGTCTCTATGGCTACCAGAAGCATAATGATGGAGGTAACTTAAGCTTTCATATTGCTGGAATAACAGGACTGTTCCCACATGTGTGTGTGCTGAGTGATTCTAGGAGCATGAACCGACGGGTTGAGGCAGGCTCTGTGTGCAGATGGTGGATTGAGTCATTGCGAAACTCTCCTGTGTGTGAAGTTAACTTCATCTTTGTCCCAGGGCAGGGTGTGTTGCTGGCAATGAAAGAGGCAATAGACTGGCCAGTTTGCTCTCGCCCCAAAGCTCTACATTAGTTATTCTGTCATACCATTTACTTCCCTCTGTTCTGTGCAGACACCAGTTAACGAATGTCTGTAATCTTTTAGTCTTTGTTTTAGTTGTTCTCTGTGTTTCAGCCCCAAACAGCATTACTGATTTGACCTTAAAATTAAGTGTTTTAAATTTAGTATTAGTTATAACTTCCTGTGACTTTCACAAATTTCTTAGTGCTATCAAATTAAAATTGCCTTTTTACCATCCAGCAACTGATGCAACACATCTTAATATTTTAGCAGTCTGTCAGAGAAACCTGTTGCATTTTCATTTATTAGTAATTGATGATTTTAAGTAGTTGTTTTAATTTGACTATTGGCAAAATATTATTAACCATTTCAGGGACAGAAGGCTTTTCAGCTGATACCAAAGAGAGGAAATAACCATCAAAATGATCAGCAGTACTGGCCATTCAAATAGGTTTAACATGCAGTGAAATTATGCATAGGTGTGGCCAGACTTCTCAGTAATGCAGTGGCCAAATATATAATGTAAAAGAGCACATGACATGGTGGGTAGGACTCAGGGGGAACAGCCAATCACAGCTCCCACAAGGAAATGCTTTGGACCGAGAGCATTTAAAAAAATTAAGGAAAAACACAATAACCAGGAGAAAGAAATTAGGAACAAACAACAAACAAAAGATTATCCAGCCTAGTATAGATGCAGAACATAAATACACCATAGAGTAAATTATCAAACTGACAACAAACACCAGCACTATAAGCCAGATTTTTTTGGGTGTTGTGGTAAGTAGTGCCAGCACATTCTTTTAATAACTTGTTTTCTGTTTAGCGTAACAGATATTTTATGGGGAGTACTGGCGCCTTTCTGTCTAGAAAAGAAAGTAATGACTAAGGTTACTTACCCTTCTGATTGCCAGGCGGATGTCTTGAGGAACATCCGGAATCAAATATGCCAGTAAATACTTTAGCAGGAAAACCAAATGCTGTGTAAATACAAACAGGCATACATCCATGAAACAACTGTGTGAGCTGTCAGCATGAAATTTGAAAAATGATTTCAAAATTGTGGAACACACGTAGTTCACACCATGGATTAGTTAAACATGGCTTTATGTCAGTGTACAGAGTTAAGATTGAGAATCACATCAGTTTTCTCAGTGTACAGTCTCTGACAGCTCAGGTGGCTAGGTCACAGTTGGAGCATGGCAGATTCCCTAAGGACATCCTCTGTCCTGAATTACAGATGGATAAACATGTTGATGTTTTCTTCTTCTTCTGTCTTACTGCTAATCCCATAAATCATCATAGTTTCCTGTCTTTTGCTAGTCTCATAGCTTGTGTTAATGCCATATCATGTTTCTGTAGTGTCTCTTTTATTCCCTCCATCCATCTCTTTCCTGGTCAGCCTCTTGCCTTGTAGCCTGCTGTTCCCATGTGGTAAGATCTAGCTGCTGGCTGATTTTGTTGCATTCTGACCAGATGATCAAACCATTTGACTCTTTGATGTTCTATGAAATCCTTCACTGATTCTGTGTATACTATGAGTTCTTTATTGGTGACTCTGTCTCCTCTTGTTTTTCCCATCACATTTCTTGTAATCTCATCTCCCATGTTGTAACTTTGTGTTTATGTTTTCTAACACTATCCATGTGTGGCACTGATAGCACAAAGTTGATACCAATACCACATTTATGGTCCTCCGCTATGATATAAAGCTGTGTGCAGCCAGGACATAAATGATACAGGTATTGACATGGATTTATGGAAACAAGATACCATGGACTGTGTTGTATGGGGGAGATGGAGGTGGGCTGGAGTTGGAAGGGGAATAGGGATAAAGGAGAAAATGTTTGTAGATAGATCCAGAGCTGAATGCCTGAGAGGAAACTAGTTAAATATGTCTGGTGGCAACAATGGTCCTAAAAACATAAGTTCTAATTGTGGAAGACTTTTTTTTTTTAAAACATGAGCAGGTCTTGCTAGTCACACTAACCATCACCATGGACTTTCTTCTTCTTCGCGTTCACCAGCTGTAAACTCTGGTGGAAAGTTCTGGTTGTTCATCTACTTTTAGACTGCAGTCCTGTTGCAGAACCTGAGTGTTGCATGTGCATCCATTTTACAGATCTGACTCATTTGTATGCAGACTGCTGGTTCCTTGCCTCTCAGGCACTCCGACTTCAAAAGAAGCTCCCAATAAGTCGATTCCTACGACATGCTTTTGGGTAGGCAGTGGGTCTATTCTTGTTTTCCCTATAATAGGGCCCCGGAACCCACACGGGGTGTGAGTCACATGCCTCCACACAGCATAAAGTAACTTTATCGTCTAGAAAGGAAAAAGGGTGTCAACATCAAACATGGAGTAAGGAGAACAAGGATCTTCAATATATAGTGTCCTCGTTTGGGTTCTGGGGCCTCAGGGGGAGGAGGGAGGGGGGAAATTAACCCACTGCTCCCTAACAAGCATGTCATAGAAGACAACTAGTGAGAGATGTTTCCTTTGAAGCCAGAGTGCATCTGCCTGACAGGCAAGGAACCAACAGTCTGCATACAAACGGATGTGTATGCAAAGCTCAAACCCTGCAACAAGACTAAAATCCAGAAATGGATGAAAAATCAGAACTTTCCAGAGTTTACTGTGAAGACTGAGAAGAAAAAGAACTACACATTGAAAGATACGTCTGCTGAGCTTTGAAACACCCTACACATCCAGAACACAATCCTGAAGACACAATCAACCTCACATGAAAGCAAAAGACCCTGTTTTTAAACTGCAAACTTAAACTTAACAGCGGGGAATGGAAAGTGAGAAGCAACAACAGAATTTATAATCTGTTTAAATCACCACTGAGCAGTGGCATCATGAGTGCTAATAGACTGAAATGGCTGGGGCAAGTAGAGAGAATGTCAGATGACAGAAAAGTAAAAACTGTATACACAAGGGAGGTGACTGGTCACAGTCCACGAGACAGACCACGAAGACAATGGAGAGATAATGTTCAGACAGATCTACAAACACTTGGTGTCACCAACTGGAAAGAGAAGGCCAACCAGAGAGATGAATGGAGGCGGATGATATCTGCAGCAATGAACTTCAAGAGCTTGGAATGCTGAAGAAGAAGAAAAAGAAACCTTACAGCCAAGTACAGGAATTTGCAGATTAGGGATTCAGAACATTGTTCTTGTAGACGGGCATCACAAAATACTGAACAGTGTTTCAAACAGGCTCTCTACATGGAGTATAGAAGTTCCATATCTGACCAGTAGGCATTCCATAGTTATATGAAACAGTGAAGGACACACATTGCACCACCGACTTTATAGAGGCTTGTGGCCTTCTCATCTGAAAATCACTGACAAGGAAAACAAACAGAAGTAGAAGTAAGTAAAGATCCCTTTTTATGCCTTAAGGTGCATCGGGCATATAGGAAGAGCATCCCATATTTTTTCAGACCAATCTGCACTGGGTGGGTAATATGGTCAGCATTATGCCGGCCATCAGAAGAGGTGTGAAATATTACATCTTGACATATCCTAAGCTATTATGAGGGGAGCCGTTTACAGTCAGTAAATGTTAAAAAGAAAAGGTCAACTATGCCACAACAACTGCATATACATACAAGTAACTAAAAGTAGAGAGTCCCTTACAAGGAGGAGGAAGGAAACAACTCACCTCAAATCCTATAACAACCCACAGCTTTCCTGTCAGGTCAAACTGCTTGCCCCAGTTGGATGTAAAGGCAATGATAAATGCATTGGTAATGACTCCAACAAAGTTGACCAAGTTGAGAATTTCAAACCACATTCCTGGTGTCAAACAGAACAATATAAAAATATTTGGTTCATGGAAAGTTGTTTTTAAATAGAATGTCACTCATGTTCTTCTTTTTTAGCATTCACTGGCTGTAAAATCTGGCCGAAAGTTATGATTGTTCATCAATTTCTAGACTTTGGTCTTGTCCCAGAAATTGAGTTTTGCACACACATCCATTTTATTTGTATGGAGACTGTTGGTTCCTCAACTCTCAGGCATAGGCCCTGACTTAGAAAGAAACTCATCTAATTAGTTGCCTTGTAGGACATGCTTGTTAGGGAGGCAGTGAGTCTACTCCCCCCTCCGCCCAGAATGAGGACCCAGAACCCACACAGGAAAATGTCACTCATAAATGGAAAGTTACTTGTAGACAGAATGTCACTCATAAATGGAAAGTTACTGGTAGACAGAATGTCACCCATAAATGGAAAGTTACTTGTAGACAGAATGTCACCCATAAATGACAAGTTACTTGTAGACAGAATGTCACCCATAAATGACAAGTTACTTGTAGACAGAATGTCACCCATAAATGGAAAGTTACTTGTAGACAGAATGTCACCCATAAATGACAAGTTACTTGTAGACAGAATGTCACCCATAAATGGAAAGTTACTGGTAGACAGAATGTCACCCATAAATGACAAGTTACTTGTAGACAGAATGTCACCCATAAATGACAAGTTACTTGTAGACAGAATGTCACTCATAAATGACAAGTTACTTGTAGACAGAATGTCACCCATAAATGACAAGTTACTTGTAGACAGAATGTCACCCATAAATGGAAAGTTACTTGGAAACAGAATGTCACCCATAAATGGAAAGTTACTTGTAAACAGAATGACACCCATAAATGGAAAGTTACTTGTAAACAAAATGTCACCCATAAATGGAAAGTTACATGTAGACAGAATGTCATCCATTAATTAATGGAAAGTTACTTGTAGACAGAATGTCATCCATTAATTAATAGAAAGTTACTTGTAGACAGAATGTCACCCATAAATGGAAAGTTATTTGTAAACAGAATGTCATTCATCTATAGAAAGTTACCAGAAAATGAAGAAATTTTGACTAGAGTGAAATATTTCATCTCTAGTCTGCTATTTAATCTTATATCTCCAGCTTGCCAGTATATTTCCCAAACTACTTCTTTTTCTTCTTCATATTTGCTGGCTGTAAACTCTGGCAGAAAGTTTTGTTCCAGGACTTGACCTCCTGACCTCTCAGGCAGACGCACTCTGACTTTGAAGAAAACTCCCATAATTAGTCAACTTTTACCAAATACTTGTTAGGGGGCAGTGGGTGTATACCCTCCCCCCCACCAAATGGGGTCACATAACCCACACTGGGATCCAAACCTTCCATGTAAATATATTTTAAGAACAAACATGTACCTATGTCTTCTGCGATGTAGGCTACAGGTCTGCGGTACCACCACAACATCCGCTTGGCGTCCACTCTGATGTCGATGTAACAGATGGCCAGCGCTAGCAATGGGGCCAGGGGGAAAGATGAGGCAAACAACTGAACAGATAAACAACAAATTAATTAACAGGTTTGGCAATATCGTCACATGCAGTTTAAGTATATTAACTTAATAGTCTATACACCTATGAAATGATACAATTATTACATAAGCTAGGTAATATTAAATCATCATCATCATAAACCACTTCTGCCGTTAAGCGACATGGGGAGGAATAATTTGCGATCCAGTGCACATTAGCTGCCACTGGCTATTGCCATGCCGTGAAGGCGTAGAGTGTCTTTAATGTTGTCGATCCATGTTTTCCGTGGCCTTCCTCTTGCTATTGTAGCTGATCTTCTGAGATGTAGTGCTTGTGATGGTATTTGATCTTGCTGCATTCTAACAAGATGGCCAAACCACTTGATCTGCTGTTTCTCGATGAATCTAGTACAAGGTGGGTAATATTAAATAACCAGTAATAAATGATAAGTATAAATATCCATTACTTAAACAGAAAACAATAACTATATTTATCCAAATTATAACCAAGATGAAGAGTATATTGTTGATTACATTATTACTACTACTACTGCTGCAGCTACTACTGCTGCTGCTACTACTGCTGCAGCTACTACTGCTGCAGCTACTACTGCTGCAGCTACTACTGCTGCAGCTACTACTGCTGCAGCTACTACTGCTGCAGCTACTACTGCTGCAGCTACTACTGCTGCAGCTACTACTGCTGCTGTTACTACTGCTGCAGCTACTACTGCTGCAGCTACTACTGCTGCTGCTACTACTACTATGTTCTATCATCAGCTTTTGAATACATACACGAAGGTTAGTTAGTTAGACTTTCCTCTTGAGCCTAAGGCAGTGCATAGGGAAAAGGTCAAAGCTCTCCAGGTCTGGCGGTTCATTGCCACCTGCTTTAGATCTTGGATGTTCATTAGGCCCATGGTTGGGCCTTCCATGATTATAGTTCTACATAAAGTCTCTCTTGGTCTTCCCCATTTCCTTTCCCCCTCCAGTGTCCATTTGAGGGCTTGATGGGGGAGTCTTGTCTTATCCATTCTGAGTGCATGGCCAATGTATTTCCAGCAGCGCTCTCTTATAAAATCAGATACATTATTTTGCTTGTTTTCTTGTCTTACTTGCTTACTGGATCTAAAATCTGTCCAGTTAAGATTTAGTGTTCTTCTAAGACATCTGTTCTCAGAATTGTTAAATTTTTTTTAAAAATCAAGAGCAACTGTTGCTTTCCAACTCTCGCATCCATAAGTTAGCACTGGAATCACACAAGAGTTGAAGATCTTAAGTAGCAGGTAGCAGGTACACTTTATCATGTACACAGTATATAATTATTTTTAAACAATATTTCCCAGGCTGCTATCATAAGTGACCAAAGACTGACTGAATGTTGTGAGCTAGCCTATGTGAAGTCTGTCCTGTGTTCTATACCTCGTCCTGAGGTGTCTGTCCTTCATACATTTACAGGAGACTGGAAGTCAGTGACTAACAGAACTTTAGGTCTTTGTGCTAGCCCAACTTACCATGAGGAAACCATAGAGGATGACTTTCTCTGTGTACTCTCCCATAGTGAAATCACCAAGACTAGGCTTTAGCCTCTCTCTCTCCAAGAAGGCCATATGTACATTATGTTTGTCTTGATCACTCGGTTTCTCTATGTCTTTCACTTGGTTCTGCCCTGAACAAAGCAAACATCCAGTCTGGCAACACTGAGGTCTGGCATGCCATAGTTTGGTCACAAAACTGAAACAGGTCAATGAACACAGACTTTCTGTAGAGAATTCATTTTTGTCGTGAAATAAGACAGGAATTAAATTATTAGCGTGGATGAATATGATGAAACCTACACTTCAACACAAAAATAGTCCCTGGATATCTTCTACTTCTTCTTTGCATTCACAGGCTGTAAATTCCAGTAGAAACTTCTGGTGTTCAACCACTTTTGGATTTTGGTCTAATTTTAGAACTTGAGTTTCGTTTCATCCCCACTTTACAGATCTGGCTTATTTGTTTGAACTGTCGGTTCCTTGCTTTTGAGGCAGATACAATCCAACTTTAAAGGAAGTCTCTAATTAGTTGACTCTTATGATATGCTTGTTTAGGGAGGGGGAAAAATAGTGAGTCTATTCTTTTTTACCCCACAAAATGAGACACTGAAACCTACACTGGATATAAGCAATATTTATGACGACTGACAACAAATATTTTAAACCAAGCACACAGCATGCGCACGTAGGCACACATAAGCTCTCCAAATAGACCAAGTAGACACAGGTAGGAAGAACAAATCAAACTTTTCAAACTAAGACAACAAACTAAGTATACATGTTTATGATTGATAAACAAACAAGTAAAGTACAGCTATTCAAAATAAATGAAGGAGAAAAACCTTTTCAGTACCTGGAAATTGACACAAAATTTACTGTTTACTCTTTGCAACATATTTCCACAAGTCTTTTGCTTTAAAGGCAACAATTATTCGGGGATGTACATTTTATCCTAGCAAAACATTTTGTTAAAATTTCTCCATGTGTTGGTTCTGAGGCCCTGTTGTGGATAAAACAAGAATAGACCCACTGCCTCTCCAACAAGCATGTCATAAGAGTTGACTAATTGGGTGATTCTTTCAAAATCAGAGTGTATCTGCCTGAGAGGCAAGGAACTAACAGTCTATTTACGAATAAGTCAGATGTGTAAAATGGATGTGCACACTACATTTAGGTTCTGGAACAAGACTAACGTCGGAAGGTGGACGAACAACAGGAATTTTCCACCAGGGTTTACTGCCGATGAACAAGAAAAAAAAAGACAAAGAATAAGACTCTGTGGACTGCACAAAAGCTTTCATCAAGGCTACCGGCCTCCTGATATAAGTTTAATGACAGAAAGATTGAAAAAGAAAAAAGAATAAGAAGCCGTTAAACTTTCTGATGTCAGTGAACAATTAAAAAAAAAACTATTTGTAAATTGAAATCAACTAATTACCAAAGTTAAATATTGAAATCTTTGAATTTTATCAGGTGAATTATTAACTACCATGACTCTTATAAATAAAGTATACTATGACTTTCAACATCTGCTAAAGTCAAAGTGTCTCTCTTGCAATACCAAGATCAAAATATATAAAACGTTGATAAAACCAGTCGTTTTATATGGTTCTGAAACTTGAAACACAACTAAAAGACATGAAGTCTTATTACAGGTTTTCAAAAACAGAGTCTTACAACGAATCTTTGGACCCATCAAAGATGCAAACAGCTGTGAATGGAGAGTGAGAGGCAACAATGAAATTCATAATCTGTTTAAATCACCCGGATAACTGCCATTATGAAAGCTAATAGACAGAAATGATTGGGGCATATTGAAAGAATGTCAGAGGACAGAGAAGTAAAAACTGTATACACACTAGGGAGATGAATGGTTGTAGACCACGAGGCAGACCAAGAAGACAATGGAGAGATAATGTCCAGACAGACCTGCAAACACTTGGTGTCACCAACTGAAAAGAGAAGACCAACCAGAGAGATGAATGGAGGCAGGTGATATCTGCAGCAATGAACCTCAAGGGCTTGGAATGCTGAAGAAGAAGAATAAGACTATGACTCTGAGCTTATTGTTCTATAGGTATATTCCTTTCAATATATATATTTTAAAAAAAATCTGAGATAACCTAACACTTAAACAAAGTTTTAAAAATAATACTGTTGTATACTCTTTCTGTACAAATCTTAATGTTATTTTAACCCATCATATCTCAACTATTACTATAACTTCCTCTTGAGTGTATTCTAGGGCCCGGTTTGTGGGACAGGGAAGAGAATAGACCCACTGCACATAAACAAATATGTTGTGCACGGCAATTAAAAAGTGGTTTGCTTAATTAAAGTTGATAAGCTGAAAGACACAGATATCACTGTATAGCTGTAAACCACAATACAATGGGCTAATCAACATTTTAAGTGCTAAAATAGAAGACAAAAATGACTATACCTTCTTTTGTTCTACAGTTGTATTTTTCATGTTCATGAAACTAAACAAAAATTGTTGCTCTAAGGTACAATATTGTTATCATGAAAAGATTTAAAACCAAACAAAAAGTAGATCAGTGAGCTTCACAATAAAAGAAACACAAAAGGAAAGTGAACGTTGTTGTAGCTACAAAGCCTTCATCAGCAAATTACATACATCAAACAAAACCATACGAATACACAAAAATCACTTAACTGATGTATTCCTGATAGCAGCCATATTGATATCTGGCCAGTAAAATGAAAAGACATGTGCGGCCCAAGAATAAATAGCCTGAGAATGCCAAAGGCTATAACTCGAGGATTTTAGGTAAAACTGTGTTGTCTGTTCAGTCCACCGTTTTGTACCCAAGGTAAAAAAAAAAGGCAATTCTCAAGAGACTTACGGTCTCTGTGGCTGGAGTAGCTAGATTTAAATACAAAATCTTTAGGATAACAGTGTGAAAGTAACAACTATCTGAGACTGAAAGAGTATTTACATGTAAGTGTTTAGGCAAAACTGACATTACAATTCAGAGTACTCTGGGTAAGTATCACATACTTTAAATAATTCTGCATTTATTTTTACTTTATCTCAATCATATACATAATAATGTAATACTGTAATTTTAGAGCCAATATATGTGTGTGTGTGTGATGTTTTGTTTATTTCTTGTAGTTATTTTGCTGATAAATGCTAATCGCTGTAACATTCTGTGATTGTTAATTGTAATAGGTTTTGTAAAGTCAACATATACTTTATGTTTTCTTACCCCTTTCTGTCTCTACTTTTCCCATTATTTTCCAATAATTGTTTGACCTGTGACTACAGTATAAATATTCGCAATGAGAAAAGACGGTGTAGAAAATGGCTGACATGTGGTCACTTACGGTATAATAATGTCCTTGAAGAATTTTGGGATTGGTTTAACCACCATGAGGACCAAGATTTGAAATGACAGCTGGGTCATGCACGAGCCTTCACAGGAGTCTATGTAACGCTCTTTAAATATGCCTCCTTTCTGAAAATGGACAAAAGTTAAAAGAAAACGCTGACTGGTATTATGGAGGATATTTATTTGTATATTTCCTGTACGTCAGTATTTATTGTCAGTATTTCATGTCAGTATTTCATGTCAGTATTTGATGTCAGTATTTCATGCCAGTATTTCATGTCAGTATTTCATGTCAGTATTTCATGTCAGTATTACATGTCAGTATTTCATGCCAGTATTTCATGTCAGTATTTCATGTCAGTTAAAAGTAGTAATAGTATTTGTCACCATTTCAACTTCATCCCAAACAGTTTATCCCATATCTGCTACATTCTGGTGCCAGCAAAAATCACATGCAATGCCTCTTACTGTCTCAGCTGAAAATGGGTGCACAAAAAATGGGTCCCAACAAAGTGCAGAAACAGGAACACACAGTAAATGCATAAAGCAGTTGCTACAGGTACATAAACCAACAGTCATCACCAAAATTACAATTTGTCGTCAATGGAAGTTGTCAGTTACGATAAGCTAGCCATACTTGCAATATTATACTATAGCATAAGGTATTTCACCAGCCCAAATGAAAACCAGATATAAACCTTTTATCTAAATATCATGACACAGCCACCACAGGCACAAATTAAAGGCATTTCACTGTAAATACACAACTTACAGCATTTCTAAGCATTTCATTTGATAGCTTAGGCAGCAAACTGTAGTCTTCTGGCCATATGTGGAAATGGCATTAGCAAATTGCTACCAGAGGCAAAAATAGCTTCAAGGCTGTTTGGACTACCTACCTATCTGCCATATTGTATGCTGAATCACTTAACTCTTTAAGTCCCAAGGAACGCATCATACGTTCATAGATTCCTACCTAGAGGCCCAATGAACGCATGATGCACCAATTTTACGTCTCTTTTGACTACCCCTTGAATCTGTCATGCTAAACCCCCTGGGACTCAAAGAGTTAATACCAGTTAACATATTCCATATAACCATGTCATTATGCATCCCAATAAACATATTATGGCAGCACAGAGGGTAACTGGCTCATAGACAATACTGTTTCTCAGACGCTAAATACTTTAGCCACACTGAGTGCTATAATGAAAGGACCTGGTACATGATGATTATGAATAGTTAAACTACTGGCAAGCTGCAGATTTGACGGCACTTTTGTGGCTTTCCTGATGACAGTATTTTATTGTGCTGTAGAGAGGTATGAGAATCACCACCCATGGAAGTGGTAGGTGTGACTAGAACAACCTGTCAGCATTAAGAAAAGCCAGGACCAATTAAGGCCAGGAATGATGTTCCTTCTTTCCAAAGCACAAAGACTGGGCATTATTGTAGAGATCATGTGTTGCCCATACAGTATTATCCCTCACTTGATCTGCCTTGTTTACTCCAAAAGAAACACCAATGCATTTGGAGCAAAGCTGAAGGTACAAAATGATAAACTATAACTACACATCTCCTTTCTTTCATTTCTCTACTCCTGAAATGCCTCACGGCGTCAGGGCAGGAAGAGATCTTTGGAACAGGCCCTTCTGTTCACTTCGTATAAAGTACTTTTCTGTGTCTCTGATATTTCTGCAGTCCATTTTCTGCATGGTTGACCTCTGGCTCTGTTGCTGTTGTATCTGCATAACACTACTCTCTGTGGTGCCCTGTCTGCTGCCAATTCAGTTACATGGCCAAACCATTTGATTTACACATCTGCATGTATAAATACCCTGTGTGGGCTCCAGGGTTTCAATTTAGAGGGGGAAAAAGAACAGACTTATGGCATAATAACCTGCATGTCCTAAAAGGTGACCAATTAAGGATTTTTAATTTGAAGAGAGTGAATCTGCCTGAGAGATGAGGAACCAATAGCCTGCATACAAGTAAGTCAGATCTGTAAAACAAATTTGCATACAAAATTAAAGTTTTTAAACAAAACTAAAGTCCAGAACTAGAGAAGCAACCAGGATTCTCGGCCGTAATTTAGAGCCAGCGAACGTGAAGAACAATCAAAAGAATGGGTTATTTTTTATCAACTTGCCCACACGGTGAGAGTTATTTCCCTTGCCATTCATGCTGTCACGAATTGCACGGCCTGTCCTATATTGTGGTGTCCTATGTGGGGGTGTCATGTATGCCTTTTTTTATCCTTATCCTTGGTTTAACGGTTGTCTCTTTTCTTGTGCTGTCATCACTCACTAGCATGATCATTTCCACATTGTGCTACTTGCCTGACTGTTTATCAGTATTAAAACTGTCATGGTTTTGTATTTCTACGTTCCTTGCCAGTGGTTTCTTTTCTGAGGGAAATCTGTCACCAAGGAACATAGAAATACAAAAACATCCCAGTTTCAACACTCATAAACAGTCGTGCATTCCGCGCTTCATCCTGAAGTACTTCTTAGTTGTACACAGGTACCTGCAGACTCAAAGAGACTCAGCGACAACACAACCTCCCATAAACATTATATACCATGAGGGAACACCAAAAGAAGCCATCTCATAACACCCTTACAACACAGGACAAGCTGTGCAACCCGTCGCAGCATGAATGACAGGGGAAGGAACTCTCATCGTGTGGGCGAGTTTGTGAGAAGTTCCGAAAAATGTATAAAAACAGTAAGCAGTGGCCAGTCTGATTGAGACAGGCTAATGAAACTTACCCCCCTGAAAAAAGCAATGTAAAAACAGGAAGCATAGCTGTTGACGAACTGGAAGACAAATAACTTGATGATCAGAGCATCGTCATACTTGGTCTGGGTTCTGTGGTTCTCTGAAATCAGAGTTGATTTCATCCAGCGTTACTTTTTTTTTTTGTTTAACCCAAGACTTTTACTGGTACTAGATTTTAACCAGTGTTACTTTTCATTGTTGAACCCCAGATTTTTACTGGTACTAGATTTTAACTAGTGTTACTTTTTTGTTGTTGAACCCCAGACTTTTACTGGTACCAAATTCAGGCTGGGTTTTAAACAAGTTCAACTTGATGCAGATTTGAACCAATGACTTTTAGCCCTTGTGATGAGCACCAAAACAGCTTTAAAATGCAGTTTTGAAACTGTGCACACACACACATACACTCTAAAAGGTTAGTTGCGTATCCTTTACAGGACGTTGCAGAACCAACCCCAACAGCCCATGGCTGTTGTATGGTTTTTCTAGGCAAATTTACGTCCAGTAGTTTGCCATTGCTTTCTGGACGGTCGGCTTTCTTAATACCACTGTCAAAACCAACGCAAGGGGCATGGCCCACAGCTGGAATCGAACCCGGCATTACGAAGCGTTCGCATCGACTTAGCCACAGAGCTAACCACACACATACACAAAAAAACTGACAAAATATTTTTTTATCGAAAAAACTCCAACTCTCGATTCTGAGATAAAGCAAAGGAATGTTTTTGTTTTTTTCCAGCTTCAGTGGTCCAGCAGCCGTAGAATCAACACTTCATGGGTCACGTCTGGAACATTTCTGTCTCAATGCAGATTTGAACCCATAGATCTTTGGGCCAGCAGGCCAGAGTCTAGGCCTCTACATTTGTATACTAAAGTAAGGTCCCTTTTCCCCGCCTTTAGGCGTATTGGGAATACAGGGCCAGACCTATAATTTTTTAGATTTTTAGAGACCAATCTCTACATTTGTATAGCTTCCCTTTTTTAAAGTAATTGTTTATTTAAAAAAAATACTTGCTTGAATCCCAGTGTGTTTCAATGATATCACAATGGATCACATGTTATGTTATCACAGTCGACATCACTCCACATTGGACATTCCCATATGTGCTCAGTCCTCTGATACAGCAGCCACCTCTAATGTACTTCTACTATTGTCAGATATTGATTGTAACATAGTCATCCATATTTTTACTTTGCATGTAAAGGACGTGAACCACACCTTCAGGTGTACGGGGCATATAGCACTAGAACTACATTTGATCGACCAGTCAGCACTTGGTGGATGATGTGGTCAGTATCATACCAGACTTTGCGTCTGCAAGCTTCAACATTTTGCTGGAACTGATAAGTTTTCCAAATTGGCCCATGAAGAACATTTTGTGTTATTTCCACTGGCACCGAACCTTGACTAACGACTTACTTGAAACTTCATTTAAGTATTATTATTATCATCATCATCATCATTTCCGGTGATAATAAAAGCAGCTTTGAAGTAAAGTATGGATATGGAATTTGTGGCATCTAACTGCGAACCAGTGTTCTATGACATTCACACAAGTTTAATATTTTAATTGTGTTAACTTCTCCTCTACTCTACTACACCCCCTCCCCCCCTACACACACACATATAAAAACACACACACACACACATACACATGCACATATGCACATCCACACAAACATTCACTGAGACACACACACATATATGTATGTGTGTGATTGTCAATATTCTATCACTTTCCACTTACCCCAGTCTGTTAGTATTCCAGCCAATTTCTCATAGAGCTGAAAGAGAAAAACAATAACCAGTTGATGATTATCTCAAATGAGATATTGTGCTTGCTGCTACTGGACTTGAAAAAATCTCTCCTTCCTCTCATTATAGATGATCATGTTAACAATCAGTAACTTTTATCTCCTTATTATAGATGATTGTGTTACAATCAATATCTTTTATCTTTATATTATAGATGACTATATTACAATCAATATCTTTTATCTCCTTATTATAGATAACTGTGTTACAATCAATATCTTTTATCTTTATATTATAGATAACTGTGTTACAATCAATATCTGTTATCTTTATATTATAGATGACTATGTCACAATCAATATCTTTTATCTCCTTATTATAGATAACTGTGTTACAATCAATATCTTTTATCTTTATATTATAGATAACTGTGTTACAATCAATATCTTTTATCTTTATATTATAGATGACTATGTTACAATCAATATCTTTTATCTTTATATTATAGATGACTATGTTACAATCAATATCTTTTATCTTTATATTACAGATGACTATGTTACAATCAATATCTTTTATCTCCTTATTATAGATGACTATGTTACAATAAATATCTTTTATCTTTATATTACAGATGACTATGTTACAATCAATATCTTTTATCTCCTTATTATAGATGACTATGTTACAATCAATATCTTTTATCTCCTTATTATAGATGACTGTGTTACAATCAATATCTTTTATCTCCTTATTATAGATGACTATGTTACAATCAATATCTTTTTATCTTTATATTATAGTTTTAAAAAAAAGTAAAGATCCCTTCTCGCGCCTTAGGCACATCGGGTATATGGGAAGAGCATCCCATATTTTTACAGACCAATCGGCACTGGGTGGGTAATGTGGCCAGCATTACGCCGGTATATTATAGAGACCACATTAAAATCAATATCTTTTATCTTTATATTACAGATGACTATGTTACAGTCAATATCTTTAATCTTTAAATTACAGATGACTATGTTACAATCAAAATCTTTTATCTTTATATTATAGAGACCACATTAAAATCAACATCTTTTATCTTTATATTACAGATGACTATGTTACAATCAATATCTTTTATCTTTATATTATAGAGACCACATTAAAATCAACATCTTTTATCTTTATATTACAGATGACTATGTTACAATCAATATCGTTTATCTTTATATTATAGAGACCACATTAAAATCATCTTTTATCTTTATAATTCAGATGACTATGTTACAGTCAATATCTTTTATCTTTATATTATAGATGACTATGTTACAGTCAATATCTTTTATCTATATATTATAGATGTAAAACAGTAAAGGACAATTTTCCACGCTTTTAGGCATATAGGGCATATAGGACTAGACCTATATTTTATAGACTAATTGGTACAAGATGGGTGATATGGTCAGCATTACACCGGCTGCCTTTACTTCCTGGGACTGCACCCGGTACCCACTCAAGGCTGGGTCGACCTGGGAGCCAAGGTCATGTTTTGAAAAAGTCCAGCTCTGCCAGGGAATGAACCCATGACCTTTCAATCCGCAGATGAGTTCTAGCCACTCTGCCACGGTGACCATGTTATTATAAAAATCTTTTATGTTTAAATTATAGATGACTATGTTTAGAACAATATCTCCATACTATATGTGACAATATTTGAAACAATGTATACATATTTTACATATGACACTTGAATCATAATGCTGATTTTAACACAACAAGGAGGAGATTCAGTCAACAACAATGATGTTAAAATATCTAGAATGTGATGCTAACAGATCTAGAATGAGATGTTAATATATCTAGAATGAGACACAGATGACAAAAATATTGTTAAACCCCAAAACAAATTGGGGAAAGAAGCAATAAAGATAACATGATAATAAAATATTGGCACACGCAGCAATAGTAATGTTGACATGTATACAGTGGGAATGCTAACCTTTCCCAGAACTAAAATGGAGATGGCGTTGAAGATAGAAGATGCGACTGTTGTTACAAGGAAACATTCACTGTTGGTCATCTGTGGACAGTAGTCGATATCCATGATGACACGGTAGACAATGATAGCGACAACTGTCATGATGACCACCGCCACCTGAAAGAGATAAAGACTATATGAATTTAGTTAGTTAGTCTTTTCTCTTGTGTCGAGTGCGGCACATAGGGCAGAGGTCATGACTCTCCATGCACGGCGGTCCGTTGCAATCCGTTGTAGGTCTTGGATGTTTGAGTGGCCCATGAGCGAGCCTTCCCTGATGATAGTTCTACGTAGGGTTTCCCTTGGTCTTCCACGAGATCTTTTTCCCTGTGGTGTCCAAATGAGGGCTTGGTAAGGAAGTCTTGATTTATCCATTCTAAGGGCGTGGCCGACATAGTTCCAGCGGCGTTTTTGTATAAAATGAATGAATAAACAAAATTTATTTTCAAAGAGTTAAGAATAGGACACGCAAGCCTGTCTTACATTCATTTGTTCACTTCTTTGTTCATTCATTCATAGCACATGCCAACTGCCTTATAACCGCAAATGCAGAAGTAAATTTGTTATATTTATACATTTTTTATGGTTAGTTAAAATTCATAAATTTTTTAATGAGAAGTTAAAATTCATACATTTTTATACGGTGAGTTAAAATTAATACATTTATATGGTTAGTTAAAATGTATACATTGTTATATTGTGAGGTTAAATTCATATATTTATGCATGGCAAATTACAATTCAAAAACTTTGTATGGTGAGTTAAAATTTATACATTTTTTTTTGTGAATTAAAATTCAGAAGTTTTTATACGGGGATTTAAAATTTACATGTTTTTATATGGCGAGTTAAAATTCATAAATTTTTATATGGTGAGGTAAAATGTATACATTTTTTATGGTGAGTTAAAATTCATAAATTTTTACATGATGAGTTAAAATTCATACATGTTTAGGTGAATTAAAATTCATACTTTCATATACAGGTTTCATCTTTTTTAATTCTTTCCTCCTGAGAAGCTGCAAGACTGATTACTTCCTGTTAGGTCAAATTCCATGTAAATGTCACTTTTCCCATTATTATTGTACTTCTGGCACATTGGCAACTATGAACCTCTTTCAACTACAATGAAAAGGTGAAAAATGCAATGGTATGAACATGTAATAAGATCTAACAGTCTCTGAAAAACAAGGGTTCAGTAGAGAGACAGAGGAGAAGAGGCGGACGAATAAAGACCTGGTTACAGAACCTGACTGACTGGACAGGCCTCAGGAATGCAACCATGAAGTCCATCATAACTGACCGTCAAAGGTGGGAAGCTGATCAGGCGGTCAACAGAAACCGGTGACTTAACGACACATAGTTTTACGGGATGATAATAATGATGTTGGCCTAAGTCACAGGTTTCTTTCTGCCTATAATAACAGTGATAATATCAGTTTCAAATAGCTGAATCCTTTCATATACAGCATAAGCCAGATTACATAAACATATCACTGACCATGATAAAGAGCACAGAACAGGATGTGGTGAATTTGATCACCTGCCGTCGGAAGGGATAAAACCAGTTGTCTTCTTGTGTAACGGGATCCTGGGAAGAAATTTAACATTGTTGAAGTTATTGTAAATCTAGTTGCATTATTGTTGTACATTGTCAATCAAGCGAATGTAACTACAGTAGATTGTGAGTCAAGAAAGTGTAATTATAGTAGATTCCGCATCAAGGGACAGTAATTACAACTGACCGTGAATCAAGGGAGAGCACAAATATATATTAATTTTGATGACAGTGATGATCTGGAAAGACAGAAAGGTGCTAACATTTAAAAACTCATATTGGTTACAAGTACCTTTTTCACTTTGGTGCCAAAAAACTGAGGTCTGTCAGGCTCATTAGATTCAAACATATCAACATCCCACTCGTACGCCAGCGTTGCTCTCTCTCGCTTCCAAGCTTCTAAAAAAATTGTTCCTGAAATGATTCATAGCAAACAATTTATTATATTCACACAAATAAGCATCACAGTTTACAGCATGCTCTTGAGCAGAATTTGAGTGGTTTTTGTCAGATTTTATGTCTAAAATAAAATTAGTATGCTCATTTGGACAAATGATGAACATAAAATGGGACGAATTTCAACAGAGTGAAGAAAACAACCACTAGTATAAACAGTTATAAGACAGAGAAGATGGTGCTATACTGGACACATTCTGAGAATCACTCAGAGAATCAAACAGGCAATAAATGGGAAATAGAGGGACTGAGGAAATTATGACATCCATGAGAAACCTTAAGGTGAATGTTAATGAGAGAGGCCAAAGCTAGATTCCATCTATGATATCAAAGTCACTCCACAGGATAGACAGGAATGGAGAAATAGACTGCAAGGCTTATTTGACATATAATGTCACAACAGAACAACAAAAATGAATGACAGAATGGTCATTTGGAACAATCATCTTGTTTTGTGACCATGTGCTGTCCAGTTTACAAATTTACACCTGGAAATCTCAATTAACTAATATTGTTGAGAAAGGGGGAGAAGGAGAGAGAGGGGGAGGGGGAGAGATTGTGTGCACGCACATGCATATATATGTGAGTGTTTACACAATTTATAAATAGTAAAATACAAATAGTATATATGAACAACAATTTGCAGCTTACCCCAACAGCATATGAAAAGTGCAAAAAACGGAGTCACATCATTGTCAAACGCCTTCTTAATATCCGTCAGGACATCTTTCAGTGTGTCAGCGGAGCTAGCAAACAGATGAAGGACACGCATGTGTTTAATTTCTTGAATGTTTCTACTGTCTTAAACTTGCTGGACATATGTGCACATGACATAAACTTACTAGGGATATCTACATATAACATAAACTTATTAGAGACCTATACACATGACACTGAACTTATATCTTAAAGTAATGAGCCCTTTTCTATGCCTTGAGTTGTATTGGGCTAGACCTATATTTTATAGACCAAGTGGCCCTAGGTGGAAGATGTGGTCAATAGCATACCAGAAGCCTTTACTTCACCGGACTGTACCTGGTATACATTTAAGGCTGGATGGACCTGGGAGCCAAGGTAACTTTTGAAACAAACAAAGTCAGGTTCTATCAGGACCTCTGCCCACAACCTCCTAATCTGCAGGCAAGCGTCTAGCCACTACACCATAGCAGCTCCAAAACTTAAGAGAGTGTGTACATATGACATGAACTCACTGGATATATGTACACATGACATGAACTTACTACATATATGTATGCATGGCAAGAACTTACTGGTTACATGTACAAATTAGTAGTAGTAGATTTTTACCCCACTAGGACATCACACTAGCGATAAACACCCGATGACACAAAGTGCCACCATGTGGATGAGGATCACCCATGGAGAGGTCCCAGAAACCGCTTTCAACCATTAGACCACATTTATGGTCGGGCTATATTGCGGCCCCTGGCAAGAACCAGAGTAGGGCTTCAAAAAAAGAAAAATTGCATCTCACAAGGAGACTGAATAATAAATAATGTACACATGATAGGAACTAACTGGTTATATGTACACATGGCAGGAACTTACTGGTTACATATACACATGACATTAACTAGCTGGTTATATGTACACATGGCAGGAACTTACTGGTTACATATACACATGACATTAACTAGCTGGTTATATGTACACATGACACTAGTCTTTACTGGACCAGCCTGTATAAATGTCAAGTCTTTTACCCAGCCAACCTGTATAAATGTCAAGTCTTTTACCCAGCCAACCTGTATAAATGTCAAGTCTTTTACTCAGCCAACCTGTATAAATGTCAAGTCTTTTACCCGACCAACCTGTATAAATGTCAAGTCTTTTACCCAGCCAACCTGTATAAATGTCAAGTCTTTTACCCGACCAACCTGTATAAATGTCAAGTCTTTTACCCGACCAACCTGTATAAATGTCAAGTCTTTTACTCAGCCAACCTGTATAAATGTCAAGTCTTTTACTCAGCCAACCTGTATAAATGTCAAGTCTTTTACCCAGCCAATTTGTATAAATGTCAAGTCTTTTACCCAGCCAACCTGTATAAATGTCAAGTCTTTTACCCAGCCAACCTGTATAAATGTCAAGTCTTTTACTCAGCCAACCTGTATAAATGACAAGTCTTTTACCCGACCAACCTGTATAAATGACAAGTCTTTTACCCGACCAACCTGTATAAATGTCAAGTTTTTTACCCAGCCAGCCTGTATAAATGTCAAGTCTTTTACCCAGCCAACCTGTATAAATGTCTAGTCTTTTACCCGGCCAGCCTGTATAAATGTCTAGTCTTTTACCCAGCCAGCCTGTATAAATGTCTAGTCTTTTAACTGACCAGCCTGTATAAATGTCTAGTCTTTTACCCGACCAACCTGTAATAGTGGAAACCATGATGATATGCCAGTATACAGCATGTATGGAGGCAAGGTATGTACTTACTGAGTGGAGTTCTGCACCTTCAGTGACTCAGTGACACTGAAACAAAAATAAGAAAACAAGCTGGGAATCATGACAGTGCACAATACACAGATACATCTTTTCTTATATCCTTTCTGAGTTATTTTGTTGATTCTTTTAAGATATTCTTCATTACAAAACTTTATTTTAAAAATCTGGCCATTTGTCACTGAAGTCATCATCATCATGTTCTGTGCTTATAAGCAAAGGAAGTCATGTTTCACTGTTTGATATGATCACCAGAATCACAGATCAGGTCAGTGTTCATGTCTTACCCCAGCCATCCAGTTGTTCATTTCTTTGCCTTTTAATTGCTCTCTCCCGTTAATCACGTCAGTTGTAACCAAGTTCTCAGACCTGTTCCCTCTCTTGACATGTCCACACACAAAAACATTGACAGCTGTCTATGACTAAATCTCAGATCAGTTTATGGTCTTCCTCTGGGTCAAAGACAACCGGGACACACTGGGCAAATATGTTTGGGAAAAACAATCATGATCATATTCAATCATGCAATTGCACGTAGTGCAGGATGAATGGGTTTCCAGTTCCGGTTCCATCTTAGAAGAAATAAATAAAAAAATTACCACGTTCAACTTGCTGCTTTTTCGCTGCCAGCAGGCTATGGTTATATTTATAGTCTGGTTTATTTGTGGCAAGAGTTTGGCTAAGTTTGTGGTATGTGTGCCAGCTTGCTGGTTTTGTGTCCCTAATCTAATAGATAGACCATTCCTTCCTGTCTATGTCCCAGTGTGTCCCTATCATAATAGACCCCTTCCTGTTTATGTCACAGTGTGTCCCTATCATAATAGACCCCTTCCTGTCTATGTCCCAGTGTGTCCCTATCATAATAGACCCCTTCCTGTTTATGTCACAGTGTGTCCCTATCATAATAGACCCCTTCCTGTCTATGTCCCAGTGTGTCCCTATCATAATAGACCCCTTCCTGTTTATGTCACAGTGTGTCCCTATCATAATAGACCCCTTCCTGTTTATGTCACAGTGTGTCCCTATCATAATAGACCCCTTCCTGTTTATGTCCCAGTGTGTCCCTATCCTAAAATACCACTCCTTTCTGTCTATGTCCCAATGTGTCTCTGTCCTAATAGACCCCTCCTTACTGTCTACATCCCAGTGTGTCCCTATCCTAAAATACCACTCCTTTCTGTCTATGTCCCAATGTGTCTCTGTCCTAATAGACCCCTCCTTCGTGTCTATGTCCCAGTGTGTCCCTATTCTAATAGACCCCTCCTTCCTGTCTATGTCCCAGTGTGTCCCTATTCTAATAGACCGCTCCTTCCTGTCTATGTCCCAGTGTGTCCCTATCCTAAAATACCACTCCTTCCTGTCTACGTCCCAGTGTGTCCCTATCCTAAAATACCACTCCTTCCTGTCTACGTCCCAGTGTGTCCCTGTCCTAAAAAACCACTCCTTCCTGTCTACGTCCCAGTGTGTCCCTATCCTAAAATACCACTCCTTCCTGTCTACGTCCCAATGTGTCCCTATTCTAATAGACCACTCCTTCCTGTCTACGTCCCAGTGTGTCCCTATTCTAATAGACCACTCCTTCCTGTCTACGTCCCAATGTGTCCCTATTCTAATAGACCACTCCTTCCTGTCTACGTCCCAATGTGTCCCTATTCTAATAGACCACTCCTTCCTGTCTACGTCCCAATGTGTCCCTATTCTAATAGACCACTCCTTCCTGTCTACGTCCCAATGTGTCCCTATTCTAATAGACCACTCCTTCCTGTCTACGTCCCAATGTGTCCCCTATTCTAATAGACCACTCCTTCCTGTCTACGTCCCAATGTGTCCCTATTCTAATAGACCACTCCTTCCTGTCTACGTCCCAATGTGTCCCTATTCTAATAGACCACTCCTTCCTGTCTACGTCCCAATGTGTCCCTGTCCTAATAGACCACTCCTTCCTGTCTACGTCCCAATGTGTCCCTATTCTAATAGACCACTCCTTCCTGTCTACGTCCCAATGTGTCCCTGCCCTAAAAGACCACTCTTCCCTATCTACATCCCAATGTGTCCCTATCCTAATAGACCACTCCTTCCTGTCTATGTCTTTCTGTTTTCCTTAGCTTCCTGGTGGTTTTGTCTTCATGGGAATGATAGGATTTCAAACAAACATTCCTTTTGTAAATATATTACGAAAATGTGAAAGAGCAACATACCTCTCATACAAACCATAGAAGAAGACAGCAAGACCAAACAGCATTGGAATCCACAAAGTTGTTATTAACATCCCTGTCCAAGCAAAATAAAATGCAATCTTTTCACCAAAGTAGTTCCTGATATGCCACATTGGCTGAAATTTATAAAATTGTGCCCATTTCTCATCCAAATCTTTCCGAGGGTCAACATCGGGAGCCACGGCAGGCATTTCTAATGCTGGAAAGTGGGTCAGGTAGACATCTTCTTTCTGTTGAGACTTTTCTGAATCATCATGGAGGACAAAAGCGTCTGAATATGCTCCCTTCAACAATAAATAGGGCAGACCTGGTGGTGAAAAAAGTATGAAAAACTTTGAGAAAAGTTATGGTTATTAAAGCAGTTGCAGGAAAGATGGACAATAATGAAAGCATACACATTTCTGCTTGTAGGAGAACAATATTCCAGATAATGTTAATTTAAGTTCTGATGAAAATAATTTGAAATTTCAGACAGAATGAATAGATTTCAAAATGGTGGGGGCTGAGTGGTCTCGAGGCATGGCATTCGCCATGAGTGCTGGAGGTCCCAGGTTCAAGCCCCGGTGAAGGCTAGGATTTTTTAATGTGGACTCCTAGCAATTTCCTAAGACAGCGGTTTTCAACCTGCTGGTCGTGACCTTTTTTTTAGGTCGAATGACCCTTTCACGGGAGTCACCTAAGTCAATCGGAGAATACATATTCATGGAAGTTATGAAGGAAAGTAATTGTTTGGGGGTGGCCACAACATGAGGGATCTGTGTTAAAGGGTTGAGGCATTAAAAAGGTTGAGAGCCCCTGGCCTAAGTGATGAGTAATCAACTGTCTGCACACACGTATGCCTGTAAAACTGAATGTTGGCACAAAACTCATGTTGTAGAACAAGACCAAAGTTCAGAAGTGGATGAACAACTTAAACTTTCTGCTAGAGTTTACAGCTGGTAAACACCAAGAAGTTGAAGATTTAGGTCATGAGTTGACAAGCAAACCTGACCCCTGACATTTGAACTGAATGACCCTTTACCTTTCTTTTTCAGAGATGCTGTACTATTTTTCTGATCCAGATCACTGAGGGTTTCCTTGCTTTTCTGAGAGCTGGAGAACAAATCTGGACAACAGCACAAATGGTCCTCATTGTTGTCATCACTGTCTGTCATGTCCTCTTGCACTTCCTTCATCGATCGAATGTCAAGGTTAATCAGGATGTGATTTACCTGAAAATATATTCATAAGTTTCACATTTTATATAAATACTGCATTAGAAACATTACTAATAATCCACCTCCCACCCCCAACCACTAAAAATAAATACAGACATAACACATACCACACACACATCAAAAGCCACACACACATCACATGTATATTTCATAATTAACACACAGACTTAGTACCATTATTAAGTATATTTCACAGGTGTAATACCATTATTAGGTATATTCCACACAGACTAACCCCATTATTAAGTATACTAAACAGACATAACACCATAATTACGTATATTCTACAAACATAACCCCATAATTAGGTATATTCTACAAACATAACACCATAATTAGGTATATTCTACAAAAAAAACCCATTATTATGGAAATTCTACAGACGTAACCCCATTATTAAGTACACTCTAGAGACATAACCCCATTATTTAGTACACTCTACAGACGTAACACCATTATTAAGTATACTCTACAGACGTAACCCCATTATTAAGTACACTCTACAGACATAACCCCATTATTAGGTATATTCCACAGACATAACACCATAATTACGTATATTCTACAAACATAACCCCATAATTAGGTATATTCTACAAACATAACACCATAATTAGGTATATTCTACAAACATAACCCCATAATTAGGTATATTCTACAAACATAACACCATAATTAGGTATATTCTACAAAAATAACCCCATTATTATGGAAATTCTACAGACATAACCCCATTATTAGGTATATTCCACAGGCATAACACCAAGTTTAGATATAAACCATATACCATAATACTAATATCATATGTAAACAGCTTCTTCTTCAACATTTTTGCTTAAAATGATGGCTGGTATACAGCTAGGCTGTAGTATTTGCACCTCTGGGCCAAACACACCAGATTTTGGCAAACCACTAGTTAGTCATAGAACAGTGGGTCCCCCAAACTGGAGCCCCGGAACTTACATACAGAGACATGTTTTGTTATTACAGCTGACTTCATTGCACTCGTCTTGTGGGTCCAGGACCCCGTTTCAGAATCCCTCCCCAACAAGAATGTAGTAAATGTCTTCTTCTTCTTCTTCTTTTTTCTTTCATTCACTTGAAATAGATTATGTATGTCTGCAGTGTTGTCTCCAGTATGAACTTCATTGTTGTAATTGAAACAGCGACCTGTAAAGTTTAGCTTGCACCGCTGTTGTAGTTCAAGCGAACTAATTAGACAAGTATTTTTCCAAGTCAGAGTTCATCTGCCTGAGAGGTGAGGAACCAACAGTTTGCTTACAAATAAGCCAGATCTGTAAAATGGATGTGCACACAAAAGTCATCTTCTAAAAAAAAAAAGACTCAAGTCCAGAAGTAGGCAAATAACCAGAGTTTACAGCTGGTGAATGCGAAGAAGAAAAAGAAGAGGAAGAAGAAACAGACTTCATTGCACATTGGGCATTTTTATGCTGGTCAGTTTTCTGATGAAGCAGCCACCACAAGGTACCTGTATTAACTGTTTGCATAAGAAGTTGGTTATAATGTCTTCTATCTTGTCCTTGGAGACAGCATAGGTGGGCTTTACCATGCTTGACTCCCAGGCTATGTTATCTGGTTAGCATCTGAGACTCATTATGTCCACCATTAATTGAGACTAAACAGTGATGATGATATCAGCTCTGTCGAGATGCAATGCTGCATTAATTACCAGCTGGTCCACTCATTCATTACCCCTTACTCCAACATGCCCAGATGTGTAGATCAGGTGAGAGAGGTCAAGTTTAATCTCCTGTACAAACTACCCATACATAGCAGAGGCTGCCTCTTGTGATTTTCTGTAGCATGTTCATGGAGTCTGATATGATAACCACATGTGTAGGTGCTTGTTCTCTCGGTGCTCTGGAGATGGTGGTTATTTCCAAGATCAAGCTCGATGTAGTTGCTTGATAAGCGCCACTATCCTCTTTTATTGTTTTCCCATCTTTTATGCTGCATATGCTCAAACTTACTTTGACCCACACTTCATCAACCCAACTTAGTGAGACATGAAACCAATAGCAGATATAAAACGCAGACATAACACCCCAATCAGATATGAAACACACAGACATATCACCACTATGAGATATAAAACACAGACATAAACACCATGACCAAATATGAAACACTCAGACATAAAACCACAATCAGATTTGAAACACACAGACATAACAAGATTATCAAATATGAAACACTCAGACATATCACCACTAAAAGATATAAAACACAGACATAAACACCATGACCAAATATGAAACACACAGACATAACACAACAATCAGTTCTTTCATAATATCCTACCCAAGATGAAATCACAGGACAGTCCAACATTTTAGAGGGTGGTAAGACTGGGTGTCCCAGCTTTCTGATGCTTTTAACAACCCCAAAACATCTACAACTGGCCCTAACCCAAACCCACCTACATCCCACGAGAGAGTGCAGCCTAGATCCCATGACTGCAAACAGCCTAGGTCCCACAATTACAGGCAGCCTATCTAAAACCCCCTGAAATATTAGACTGTCCCGTGGCCTGTAATTTTCCCCTGTTTGGGGTAGGATATTAAGAAAGCACCCAACAATCAAATATGAAACACTCAAACATTACACTACAATCAGACAAAAAAAAATACAAACAGTATAAATTTTTGCTCCACACAGCAGTATTAATCTCTCTACCAATCATTTCATGGGGTATCTCCAAATATTTGACTGTCCTAAAATGTCGTGTGTGGTCCCAGAACTCACCAACAGGGATCTGATAGCGGGTCGGAAGAAATTGGTGGGATCTTCATGATGTTCAAACTTGTCGATCTTGTCCACACAAAATGGGCCACTTACAAAATCAGCCACTGTGGGTAAATATGGGTTAGTGGAAACATGCTGATTAATATATGAGTGGTGTGTGGGGGTAAATGTGTGAACATGCTGATTAATATATGAGTGGTGTGTGGGGGTAAATGTGTGAACATGCTGATTAATATATGAGTGGTGTGTGGGGGTAAATGTGTGAACATGCTGATTAATATATGAGTGGTGTGTGGGGGTAAATGTGTGAACATGCTGATTAATAGATGAGTATTGTGTGGGTTAAATGTGTGAACATGCTGATTAATATATGAGTGGTGTGTGGGGGTAAATGTGTGAACATGCTGATTAATATATGAGTGGTGTGTGGGGGTAAATGTGTGAACATGCTGATTAATATATGAGTGGTGTGTGGGGCTAAATGTGTGAACATGCTGATTAATATATGAGTGGTGTGTGGGGCTAAATGTGTGAACATGCTGATTAATATATGAGTGATGTGTGAGATAAATGTGAGAACATGCTGATTAATATATGAGTGGTGTGTGGGGGTAAATGTGTGAACATGCTGATTAATAGATGAGTATTGTGTGGGGCTAAATGTGAGAACATGCTGATTAATATATGAGTGATGTGTGAGATAAATGTGTGAACATGCTGATTAATATATGAGTGATGTGTGAGATAAATGTGTGAACATGCTGATTAATATATGAGTGATGTGTGAGATAAATGTGTGAACATGCTGATTAATAGATGAGTGATGTGTGGGGCTAAATGTGTGAACATGCTGATTAATATATGAGTGGTGTGTGGGGGTAAATGTGAGAACATGCTGATTAATATATGAGTGGTGTGTGGGGGTAAATGTGAGAACATGCTGATTAATATATGAGTGGTGTGTGGGGGTAAATGTGAGAACATGCTGATTAATAGATGAGTATTGTGTGGGGCTAAATGTGAGAACATGCTGATTAATAAATGAGTGGTGTGTGGGGTAAATGTGTGAACATGCTGATTAATATATGAGTGGTGTGTGGAGGTAAATGTGAGAACATGCAGATTAATATATGAGTGGTATGTGAGATAAATGTGAGAACATGCAGATTAATATATGAGTGGTGTGTGAGATAAATGTGAGAACATGCAGATTAATATATGAGTGGTGTGTGGGGGCAAATGTGGAAACATGCTGATTATTATATGAGTGGTGTGTGGGGGCAAATGTGGAAACATGCTGATTAATATATGAGTGGTGTGTGGGATAAATGTGAGAACATGCTGATTAATATATGAGTGGTGTGTGGGATAAATGTGAGAACACTCTGATTAATAAATGAGTGGTGTGTGGGATAAATGTGAGAACATGCTGATTAATATATGAGTGATGTGTGGGGTAAATGTGTGAACATGCTGATTAATATATGAGTGATGTGTGGGGTAAATGTGTGAACATGCTGATTAATATATGAGTGGCATGTGGGGTAAATGTGAGAACATGCTGATTAATATATGAGTGGTGTGTGGGGTAAATGTGTGAACATGCTGATTAATATATGAGTATTGTGTGGGGCTAAATGTGTGAACATGCTGATTAATATATGAGTGGTGTGTGGGGTAAATGTGTGAACATGCTGATTAATATATGAGTATTGTGTGGGGCTAAATGTGTGAACATGCTGAATAATATATAAGTGGTTTGTGAGATAAATGTGAGAACATGCAGATTAATATATGAGTATTGTGTGGGGGTAAATGTGAGAACATGCAGATTAATATATGAGTGGTATGTGGGGGTAAATGTGAGAACATGCTGATTAATATATGAGTGGTGTGTGGGAAAAATGTGAGAACATGCAGATTAATATATGAGTGGTGTGTGGGGTAAATGTGAGAACATGCTGATTAATATTTGAGTGGTGTGTGGGGTAAATGTGAGAACATGCTGATTAATATATGAGTGGTGTGTGAGGCGAATGTGAGAACATGATGATTAATTTATGAGTGATGTGTAAGGTAAATGTGAGAACATGCTGATTAATATATGAGTGGTGTGTGGGGGTAAATGTGAGAATATGCTGATTAATATATGAGTGATGTGTGAGGTAAATGTGTGAAAATGCTGATTAATAAATGAGTGGTGTGTGGGGGTAAATGTTAGAATATGCTGATTAATATATGAGTGGTGTGTGGGGGCAAATGTGTTAACATGCTGATTAATATATGAGTGGTGTGTGGGGGCAAATGTGAGAACATGCTGATTAATATATGAGTGGTGTGTGGGGGCAAATGTGAAAACATGCTGATTAATATATGAGTGGTGTGTGGGGGCAAATGTGTGAACATGCTGATTAATATATGAGTGGTGTATGGGGGCAAATGTGAGAACATGCTGATTAATATATGAGTGGTGTGTGGGGGCAAATGTGAGAACATGCTGATTAATATACGGTACTGTTATACGGAGTAGGTTGCATGCTGATTAATATACAGAGTTATTAGACATTCAAAACATCTCAAGTTATATACCACAACAAGTCATGCTTTATCATTACACCATGCGTTATAGTAAAACAAAAGTAACGGTCCCTTTTCCACACCTTTAGGAATATAAGGCAAATAGGGCTAGACCTATATTTTTATAGACCAATCAGCACAAGATGGGATATGTAGTCTGCCTTTACTTCCCGGGACTGCATTTGGTACCCACTTAAGGCTGGTTGACAAGGGACCCAGAGTTATACATCACAACTCCAGTTGAAAGGCTGTCAGATAAAGCTACCAAGGCAGGTGGACATGACATCGACCAGGCTAACATACTGAATGCTCTATGAGAAAATTAGAAGTGATGATTGTGCATCTGCAACCATGACCAGACTACAAGAACAGTATGTTAGAAAAGGGATGTGGCCAGATAAGAGTACTATGTGGGAAGCCAAAGAAGAATAAGAAACCAACACAGGACTGGTGTCTTAAGCTGCTACACACTGAGACATTTATTGAGGAGGGGATCCGAGCAATTATGGACTGAATGGTTCGATGTGTAGTGAGGATAATCTGTCGACTAACTAACTAACTAACTAACTAACTAACTAACTAACTAACTAACTAACTAACTAACTAACTAACTAACTAACTAACTAACTAACTAACTAACTAACTAACTAACTAACTAACTAACTAACTAACTAACTAACTAACTAACTAACTAACTAACTAACTAACTAACTAACTAACTGACTGACTAACTAAAACATCTTCAGGCATTCAGTGTATAGACACTCAGCCAAGGGGGACAACAACCTAGTGTAGTAGAATGGTTTTTCTTGACTTTAACTTCAACTTTAAATTAAAACATCTTTTACCTTATGTCACATAACATAATACCTAACATCACACACTGTAACACACCACATCACAAACTGTAACATCCCACATCACATACTGTAACATCTCATCGAACACATCCTTATACCTATGTCACACATCATAATAACTCAGGTAACATATTAAAACATCTAATGTCACACTAGCTACATGAGATTACAAATTTAACAGAAAGTTGTATTTCCAGACATGGAAACCAGATACCATGCGACACAACATCTTCTGCTGTACCCACCATCTGTGTCAGTGCTCAAGTATTTCTCCATAAGCTGAGAGATGATATTTCCTGATTCTGTCTGTGGTATCTTGCACTGTGGATTGTGGGGAGCAAATTGTAAGAGTTCCTCCACACAGAACAAAAATTACACAAGTGCCTAAACAAACAGTGATTCTAGCAATGTCATCAGAGTAGAACAGCTTTAATGATAATATAGCAATATCATCAAAGTAGAACAGCCACAATGATACTCTAACAATATCATAAAAATAGAAAAGCCAAAATGCTACTCTAACAATGTCATCAGAGTAAAAATGTTTTAATGATACAATAGCAATGTTATCAGAGTAGAATAGCTCTGATACTCTAGCAAAATCATCAAAGTAGAACAGCTACAATGATACTATAACAAGATCATCAGAATAGAACAGCCACAATGATATTCTAGCAATGCCATCACTGGAGAACAGCTTAAATGATGCTCTTACAGTTTTGTCACAGTAGAACAGCTTTAATGATACTCTTACAGTTTTGTCACAGTAGAACAGCTTTAATGATACTCTTACAATTTTGTCACAGTAGAACAGCTTTAATTATACTCTTACAGTTTTGTCACAGTAGAACAGCTTTAATGATACTCTAACAATGTCATCAGAGTAGAACAGCTTTAATGATACTCTAACAATGTCATCAGAGTAGAACAGCTTTAATGATACTCTAACAATGTCATCAGAGTAGAACAGCTGTAATGATACTCCAACAATGTCATCAGAGTAGAACAGCCTCATTGACACTCTGACCCTTCAGCCAGTAATAATCTTTACACACACAAAATGTGTGACCCCTCCTCTCTACTTGTGTTTAAAAATTGCATCCTTAACATTCTTTGATGCTCTACTTTAAGAACCCTAAGAACCAGAGGAAGAGAAGAAGAAGCCAAAGAAAATTTGAGCTATGGTCAGTTTTTATAAAAATCTAGGGGGTCGAACTCCTGAACCACTAAACAGACAGGCAAGCAGGAAGTGCATAGTCTCATGGCAGCCACAGAGTCGCTAAAAATATATTTATTTTTTCCATTTGATTTCAGTCACTATATCAAGCAAAGGTACTTTTTCATGGAGAGAAATAATCACTAAAATACCTGTACTGGTAAACCAAAGGATAGAGTTGGATATCAAACACAAGACCTTTACAGCATGAGGCAAACACTCATAGCTCAACCACTTTTTTCATGAGGACATTGTGGCAGGAGTGGATAACGAGCATCAACACTTTTAAATTACAGAAACTCACTTGGATATACTGTCCGGTATATCCAGGAGTATGAGGGAATGAATGAGTAGAGTTTTGGGGGAACTACAAAAGCATAAGTTACAGGAGCACTCACACTGGACAAGGGTGACGTTAGAAAGGTCAATTATAAACATAGGCTGATGGAAAATATGATCTTAGGTTCAATATTTTGTTTAAATTTGTGGGAATTGAGAATTGAATGTGGATCCAGCAATGAAACGACACATGAGAAAATGATGCTGTAAAGGTCCTTTGGGTGAGCATGAACAGCAAACAGATTATCTTTATCTTGAAAGAATGATGGAACTAGAAGTGAAAAGAGAATCTGGCAGCTCCTCCATAATGAGAGAAGTAAGAGAGGATCTCGAGAGAGTAGATCTTGCATGAGAAAAAAAAAATCTAATTTATTTGTACAACCATCATGATAATAGAATGGTCAGCATCTACACTCAAAGACGATTCTTGTGACTGTAACTCCAACTTCAACTCCAACTTAAACTCCAACTTCAACTTCAACTTAAACTCCAACTTCAACTTCAACTTCAACTTAAACTCCAACTTCAACTTCAACTTAAACTCCAACTTCAATTTCAACTTAAACTTCAACTTAAAAAAAATCTTATTCATTATGTTACGCATTATAAAACCTAACATTACACACTGTAACACCCTACTCCACACGCTGTAACACCCCACTCCACACACACTGTAACACCCCACTCCACACACTGTAACACCCCAATCCACATACTGTAACACCCCACTCCACATACTGTAACACCCCACTCCACATACTGTAACACCCACTCCACATACTGTAGCACCCCACTCCACATACTGTAACACCCCACTCCACATACTGTAATACCCCACTCCACATACTTTAACACCCCAAATCCACATACTGTAACACCCCACTCCACATACTGTAACACCCCACTCCACATACTGTAACACCCCACTCCACATACTGTAACACCCCACTCCACATACTGTAACACCCCAATCCACACACTGTAACACCCCATTCCACATACTGTAACACCCCACTCCACATACTGTAACACCCCACTCCACATAATGTAACACCCCACTCCACATACAGAAACACCCCAATCCACATACTTTAACACCCCAATCCACATACTGTAACACCCCAATCCACATACTGTAACACCCCACTCAACATACTGTAACACCCCACTCCACATACTGTAACACCCCACTCCACATACTGTAACACCCAGCTCCACATACTGTAACACCCTACTCCACAGACTGTAACACCCCACTCCACACACACTGTAACACCCAACTCCACACATGTAACACCCAACTCCACATACTGTAACACCCCAATCCACATACTGTAAAATCCCACTCCACATACTGTAGCACCCCACTCCACACATGTAACACCCAACTCCACATACTGTAACACCCCACTCCACACACTGTAACACCCCACTCCACATACTGTAACACCCCACTCCACATACTGTAACACCCCACTCCACATACTGTAACATCCCACTCCACATACTGTAACACCCAACTCCACATACTGTAACACCCAACTCCACATACTGTAACACCCCACTCCACACACACTGTAACACCCCACTCCACACACACTGTAACACCCCACTCCACCCCACTCCACTCCACACACTGTAACACCCCACTCCACACACACTGTAACACCCCACTTCACACACACTGTAACACCCCAATCCACACACACTGTAACACCCCACTCCACACATACTGTAACACCCCACTCCACATACTGTAACACCCCACTCCACATACCGTAACACCCCACTCCACACACTGTAACACCCCAATCCACACACTGTAACACCCCAATGCACACACTGTAACACCCAACTCCACACAATGTAACACCCCACTCCACACACTGTAACACCCCACTCCACATACACTGTAACACCCCACTCCACACACACTGTAACACCCCACTCCACATACACTGTAACACCCCACTCCACTCACACTGTAACACCCCAATCCACACACTGTAACACCCCAATCCAAACACTGTAACACCCCACTCGACACACACTGTAACACCCCACTCCACACATGTAACACCCAACTCCACATACTGTAACACCCCAATCCACATACTGTAAAATCCCACTCCACATACTGTAGCACCCCACTCCACACATGTAACACCCAACTCCACATACTGTAACACCCCACTCCACACACTGTAACACCCCACTCCACATACTGTAACACCCCACTCCACATACTGTAACACCCCACTCCACATACTGTAACACCCCACTCCACATACTGTAACACCCAACTCCACATACTGTAACACCCAACTCCAAATACTGTAACACCCCACTCCACACACACTGTAACACCCCACTCCACCCCACTCCACACACTGTAACACCCCACTCCACACACACTGTAACACCCCACTCCACACACACTGTAACACCCCAATCCACACACACTGTAACACCCCACTCCACACATACTGTAACACCCCACTCCACATACTGTAACACCCCACTCCACATACCGTAACACCCCACTCCACACACTGTAACACCCCAATCCACACACTGTAACACCCCAATGCACACACTGTAACACCAACTCCACACAATGTAACACCCCACTCCACACACTGTAACACCCCACTCCACATACACTGTAACACCCCACTCCACACACACTGTAACACCCCACTCCACATACACTGTAACACCCCACTCCACACACACTGTAACACCCCAATCCACACACTGTAACACCCCAATCCAAACACTGTAACACCCCACTCCACACACACTGTAACACCCCAATCCACACACTGTAACACCCCAATCCAAACACTGTAACACCCCACTCCACACACTGTAACACCCCACTCCACACACTGTAACACCCCACTCCACACACTGTAACATCCCACTCCACACACTGTAACACCCCACTCCACACACTGTAACACCCCACTCCACACACTGTAACATCCCACTCCACACACTGTAACATCCCACTCCACACACTGTAACACCCCACTCCACACACTGTAACACCCCACTCCACACACACTGTAACACCCCACTCCACCCCACTCCACACACTGTAACACCCCACTCCACACACTGTAACACCCCACTCCACACACTGTAACACCCCACTCCAAACACTGTAACACCCCACTCCACATACTGTAACACCCCACTCCACATACTGTAACACCCACTCCACATACTGTAACACCCCACTCCACATACTGTAACACCCCACTCCACATACTGTAATACCCCACTCCACATACTTTAACACCCCAATCCACATACTGTAACACCCCACTCCACATACTGTAACACCCCACTCCACATACTGTAACACCCCACTCCACATACTGTAACACCCCACTCCACATACTGTAACACCCCAATCCACACACTGTAACACCCCATTCCACATACTGTAACACCCCACTCCACATACTGTAACACCCCACTCCACATAATGTAACACCCCACTCCACATACAGAAACACCCCAATCCACATACTTTAACACCCCAATCCACATACTGTAACACCCCAATCCACATACTGTAACACCCCACTCAACATACTGTAACACCCCACTCCACATACTGTAACACCCCACTCCACATACTGTAACACCCAGCTCCACATACTGTAACACCCTACTCCACAGACTGTAACACCCCACTCCACACACACTGTAACACCCAACTCCACACATGTAACACCCAACTCCACATACTGTAACACCCCAATCCACATACTGTAAAATCCCACTCCACATACTGTAGCACCCCACTCCACACATGTAACACCCAACTCCACATACTGTAACACCCCACTCCACACACTGTAACACACCCCCACTCCACATACTGTAACACCCCACTCCACATACTGTAACACCCCACTCCACATACTGTAACATCCCACTCCACATACTGTAACACCCAACTCCACATACTGTAACACCCAACTCCACATACTGTAACACCCCACTCCACACACACTGTAACACCCCACTCCACACACACTGTAACACCCCACTCCACCCCACTCCACACACTGTAACACCCCACTCCACACACACTGTAACACCCCACTTCACACACACTGTAACACCCCAATCCACACACACTGTAACACCCCACTCCACACATACTGTAACACCCCACTCCACATACTGTAACACCCCACTCCACATACCGTAACACCCCACTCCACACACTGTAACACCCCAATCCACACACTGTAACACCCCAATGCACACACTGTAACACCCAACTCCACACAATGTAACACCCCACTCCACACACTGTAACACCCCACTCCACATACACTATAACACCCCACTCCACACACACTGTAACACCCCACTCCACATACACTGTAACACCCCACTCCACTCACACTGTAACACCCCAATCCACACACTGTAACACCCCAATCCAAACACTGTAACACCCCACTCGACACACACTGTAACACCCCACTCCACACATGTAACACCCAACTCCACATACTGTAACACCCCAATCCACATACTGTAAAATCCCACTCCACATACTGTAGCACCCCACTCCACACATGTAACACCCAACTCCACATACTGTAACACCCCACTCCACACACTGTAACACCCCACTCCACATACTGTAACACCCCACTCCACATACTGTAACACCCCACTCCACATACTGTAACACCCCACTCCACATACTGTAAACACCCAACTCCACATACTGTAACACCCAACTCCACATACTGTAACACCCCACTCCACACACACTGTAACACCCCACTCCACCCCACTCCACACACTGTAACACCCCACTCCACACACACTGTAACACCCCACTCCACACACACTGTAACACCCCAATCCACACACACTGTAACACCCCACTCCACACATACTGTAACACCCCACTCCACATACTGTAACACCCCACTCCACATACCGTAACACCCCACTCCACACACTGTAACACCCCAATCCACACACTGTAACACCCCAATGCACACACTGTAACACCCAACTCCACACAATGTAACACCCCACTCCACACACTGTAACACCCCACTCCACATACACTGTAACACCCCACTCCACACACACTGTAACACCCCACTCCACATACACTGTAACACCCCACTCCACACACACTGTAACACCCCAATCCACACACTGTAACACCCCAATCCAAACACTGTAACACCCCACTCCACACACACTGTAACACCCCAATCCACACACTGTAACACCCCAATCCAAACACTGTAACACCCCACTCCACACACTGTAACACCCCACTCCACACACTGTAACACCCCACTCCACACACTGTAACATCCCACTCCACACACTGTAACACCCCACTCCACACACTGTAACACCCCACTCCACACACTGTAACATCCCACTCCACACACTGTAACATCCCACTCCACACACTGTAACACCCCACTCCACACACTGTAACACCCCCGTCCACACACTGTAACACCCCACTCCAAACACTGTAACACCCCACTCCACACACTGTAACACCCCACTCCACACACTGTAACACCCCACTCCACACACTGTAACACCCCACTCCAAACACTGTAACACCCCACTCCACACACTGTAACACCCCACTCCACACATCTAATACCTTATGTCACAGATGCTCTGCCTCCCCAGCAAGCATGTCATAAGAGTAGACTAACTAGGGGGCATCCTTCAAAGTTGGAGTGGATCTGCCTGTGAGGCAAGAAACCAGCTGTTTGCATACAAATAAGCCAGATCTGTAAAATGGATATCTGTGTAACACTCAGGTTCTGGAACAAGGCTAAAGTCACCAAGAGGACAAAGAACCTGGAGTTTCCCCTGGAGTTTACAGTCAGTAATGATGGAGATAGCCAATAAAAGCTGACATCATGAAAGAACCTGAATTGGGGGTCGCGTTAGCACAGTCGATAGGAGACTCACTTTCAAATCCTGCTGCGACTACAGCCCACGGCCTGTGTTCAAAACTGGGCAGTTCCCGGGATTCACTCAGCCTCTAGGTAATGGGTACCAGAGTTAACACTCTGGAATAAATGGAGGAACGTCACTGTAGCTACAGAGTTGCATGCCACAGCATACAAGCGGAAAGTTTCTAATTAGCTCTCCGTACTGGTGGCAGAGCACTTATGATCTATAACCGTGTGCAATGACACGGTTCACATCTCCTGACTTTATCATAACCTATTAGGAAAGAAATCAATACAGTTAAACTCACATCTTTGAGAGGCATCTCCAGCTTGACCTTCTCAGCCTCATAACACAGACGCTTGAAAGGACAGTGCAGCTTCACATAGACGTGGTTGGCCACCTCATCTTTCTGCAGGGAGAAGCCTTGCTCTTTCATCAGTTTCTCAAATCTGTAGACACAGAGGTTAAACCTAATATGATGACATGGCATAAGCTGATGATACAACACACACACAAAAAATGTCGATACTCACCATAAGGTGTCTACAAAGATGTTGGTACTCACCATAAGGTGTCTACAAAGATGTTGGTACTCACCATAAGGTGTCTACAAAGATGTTGGTACTCACCATAAGGTGTCTACAAAGATGTTGGTACTCACCATAAGGTGTCAACAAAGATGTCAATACTCACCATAAGGTGTCTATAAAGATGTTGGTACTCACTAAAATGTGTTTACTGCAGTAGAGGTGGCAAAAAAAAAACATGATGCCAATCAAAGGTGTACTGCGTACTGTTGCATACCACAAGATGAAGACAAAAGCTCTGCATTAAAGTGCAAGTGACCCAGTGTAAGTGTCTGTCAGGAAAGCCGAAAGTTTAACAAGTTGGGAATGCAACAAGGCACTCTGGGAATTCTTCTTCTTGTTTCTTTTGTCAAAATCTGCTTGTGCCGCTAGGCGTCGCAGTCTATCAGATGATCGGCAACCGAGCCAGGGCGCGCTCAGTCGCTTCATATGCCGTGATGTTATGAAGTCTCAAGTTGTCCGTGACTCCTTCAATCCATCTTCTTCTTGGTCTTCCCCTGCCTCTTGGTGTTTCGATTTTCATGTTGTATGCTCTTGATGCTGGCATCGTTGGTTCCATTCTCATTAGGTGACCAAACCATTTCATTCTTTGCTTCTCAATAAATTTAACGATGGGTATGGTTCCAATAGTTCTTGTAATCACATCGTTTCTCACTCGATCTCTTCTGGTTTTATTCGCAGCCATTCTCAAACATCTCATTTCACAGGTGGTTAGTCTTCTCTCGTGTTCTTTTGTTAATGTCCAAGTACTCTGGGAATTATCAGTACATATTATATATATTCAAAGCAAGTTGGAAATGTTTCATCATAACCTTAAAATTTAGAAAGAGAAACTGAGACTGAATCAGTACAAACTGGGATGCATGCACATGACCTTGAAATACAGTAGAATCAGCTAGGAATGTTTTGTGATAGCTACATATCTGAAGGTTGGCTCTGTGGCTAAGTCAATGCGAACGCTTCGTGATGCCGGGATGCCGGGTTCAATCCCAGCTGCGGGCCAGGCGCCTTGTGTTGGTTTCGTCAGTGATATAAAGAAAGCCAACCGTGCAGAAAGCAATGGCAAACTACTGGACATAAATTTGCCTTGAAAAACCACACAATAGGTGGGGGTTGGTTTTGCAACGTCCTGTAAAGGATACACAACTAACCTTAAACATATTTGAAGTCAGTGTTTGTTGTTTCAGCATTGCGAATGTGCTTATTAAATCTGAGGTATCCGGTTTGATTCTGACTGCAGGCAGTTTGACAGCAGGCAGCTTTACGTTGATTTTAATAATAGTATCAAGAATTGACTGTTCAGAGCAATAGCAAACTATTAAAAGTCAAATTCGCGGAGTGAAACTATTCAGGCAAAAACTATTGGAGTTGGTTCTGCAACGTCCTGTAAAGGACACATGACTGACCTTTTTAGCATTCCTGAAACTGGCTAATATGATACTATCCATACAGTGATTAGTGAAGATTATAATCACAGCACTTCAGACACAATCACAGGTGCTCCGGTCTCCTCCTCAAAAGCTTCACAAGTGTAAAATGACTGACGACGCCTGTTCTGTGTTGATTAATCAAACTTCCTGTTCCCTTGGAGAAATTTGTATTTCTTGGAGCTCCAGGTTGTACCCTGATGTCCATTAGCCTAGACAGTCATACGAAGTATTCCTCTTGACAGTATTTGCACACTATCACGCCGACTGCCTTTACTTCCCAGGTCTTTACCTGGTACCCATACAGTGCCAGTACTGATTGGTCTATAAAAGTAGGAAGGTAACATCTCTCACTCAACATGTTTCATAGTGTAGGAAAACATCTTTTACTTTTCTCTTATAACACACAGAATATGTGAGCCCCACAAAACTGAACAAAAAGATAATGAAACAAGACCTGTTAACATTAATCACTGAAATTATGGCAGTAAATTCATGAAGGCAGTTTAATATTAATACAGGAATCTGCAGCGCGAGAAATTTCACACACACACAAAATACACACATAAAAAATAAATAAATTAAGTAACTACCTGTTCCTATTCCTTTCTTGCTGCCGCAATCTCTTTTTCTTCTCTTCATCCCTTTCACCTTCAAAACGGACACCATGATAAACTAGCACATAGTCAATACGCTTCCGTTCTGGAACCAAATATCCCTTATGTGCCAAGTTGGAGTACCTGGAGAAATGTAAATGACATGGCTACATCATCATTAAAGAACTCAAAATGTCAAACGGGAAATTATTGAAAATATAATTATATTTAATGAACATGAACAGTTAAACAAGGATTTGGTATGTTAGCAGTTGAGGTTCCAAAATTACTGCACAGAATAGAGAAAATTAAATGGTATGATAGAATCACTAATGTAGAGCTTTGGGAGAGAACTCAACAAGTTCCAGTGGACCAAGAGGTGAAGAAAAGATGCTGTTGAGAAAACCTGAGAACAATATAACTAGAATGGCTTTGCATTGTAACCCAGGGGCATAGAAGTAAAGGAAGACCAAAAAACACATGGAGAAGGGAGCTAGAGAGGGAAGTTAAAAATGATGGGGAGGACATGGGAAGAGCTGCATGTGACAACAAAATACAAAATGACTTGGCGTGAGTTGGTTGAGGGCCTATGCTCCACTAGGGGTTAAAAAAAGCAGAAGAAAAAGTTGAGGTTCCAACATTACTGTAGAGGGGTCAATCCCTATCTGCCCTGTTTTGATGCCAGCAGAAAATGACACAAAATGTCCTTCATCGTCCAATTTGAAAACTAGTAAAAAACATCAACCCCAGCAAAATCTTGAAGCTTGCACATGTAAAGTAAAACTGCATAAGGCACCTGTCAGATATGCCAACACTAATGACCCCACCATGACAGTTTGATTTTACAGACACCAGAATGAGCTGCAGAGATGTTTGTCTGCACCTGGAAGAAGCTTACATTCCAGTGTCACCTGTGTTTACTGTATGGCATAACTTACATCATAACTGACAAATGCCTTAAGCAAAATGGTGAACATTAAATGGTATGATTTCCAAAGAGAAGTGAAGAAATTAAAGAAATATCTGGACAACCACAAGCCCTATAAGACAGAGAAGACGGCACTATACGAGGCTCATAATGAGATGAGACAAACAGAGAACCAACCCAGGCAGTGAAATAGGAAATTCAGGGACTGAGGAAACGAAGGCATGCAAGAGAAACCCTCAAAAGAATGTTGATGCCAGAGGCCAAAGGTCCTGGACTGGATTCCATCCGTGATATCAAACTGATTGTACAGATAGAATGGAGTGGAGGAATAGACTGCGAGCCCTATGTGACATTCAATGGCACAGCAAGACAATGAATTATTGAAAATTAACAATGGGAACCGCAAGAAGCATTGGTTAGACAACTGTCTGCCAGCCCAAAGGTCAGATTTTGCAAATAAAATTATCTTGGCTCACAGTTTGACCCAACCTAAACTGGATACTATGTAATTTCCTGGGAAGTAAAGATGTCTGGCATGATGTTAACCACTTCACACATTGAGTGCACCTTGGTCTATAAAGATAGGAAGGAGTCTAGCAGATTATGCCTGATGCCCAAATTGTGTAAACAGTTTCATTTCTTTTTCTCCTTTAAAAAAAAATAACAACCTTATTTCCTGAAGAATAAGAAGACCATCTCACATATGAGATGCACCTCGATTCTGGGACTATAAATCATGAAAAACAAATAATATGATTCATAAGAATCTATAACCATTGTATAAGACGCAAACTGTTTTAGACGACATATTTTTGAAAATAAGTGTGTCTTGTACCAGGTTAAATATGGTAACACCTGCAGACTACCCTAAACATCCAGCCCCTACCGATGCCGTCTTAGCCCACTGAGCACTTGCCTAGAGGCCCTACTAGCATAGGAGACCTCATGTTAATCTTTGTTTGTCAAATGACTTGCCAAAAATAAAAATATCCTTCCTGTGAGTGGTGGTCGTAAAGGTGCCAGCACTCTGGATATTGTTGAATTGCCAGGGCTGCAGTGTATTTCAAGTTTTTCCACAAGGGACAGTGATGGATATTTCATATGGTTTTCCACAGGCACAGGAATGGAGCAACTACGGGATGACCAGCTTGCAGCGAAGTTGGAACTGATATCAACTAACTGATTAACTGGTCCCTACTACAGTATAAGAAGATTTAGTTCTTTATTAATATTCTACCCCAGATTATGTCACAGGACAGACACACATTTTAGAGGGTGGTGAGACTGGGTTTTCCATCTTTCTGGATGCTTTTAACGACCCCAAAACATCTAGAACTGGCCCTAACACCAACCCACCAAGGTCCGACGAATGCATGCAGCCTAGGTCCCACCAAGGCTTGCAGCCTAGGTCCCACCAAGGCATGCAGCCTAGGTCCCACGACCTCATGCAGCCTATCTATGACCCCCTGAAATATTAAACTGTCCTGTGACCTACAGGATGTTAATAAAGAACTAAATATAAGGTTACATTGACAGTTCATCAATGCAGGCTTGTCAAGAAGCCACATTAAAAAGACTATACTCCTGCTAACAAAGCTCACATAGTTACCTTTTCTCAAATGGTCGCATGACCCTTCGCTTGAGCCTCTGCTTTTCATTTCTGTGAGTCAACTGAGCGTAAGATGCCTCAGTAACTGCCACACTGGATGCTTCAACAACCGCCACATCAGATAACTTGTGGGTCTCATGATGGATGTGATTGTAGACAGCAGATGAAACCTCCATGATGACTGCTGGACTCTAGTGATAGGTAATAGTAAGTAAAGTAAACGACCCTTTTCCACGCCTTTAGGCGTAATGGGCATAAAGGGATAAACTTATATTTTATAGACTAATTGGCACTCGTTGGTTGATGTGGTCAGTAGTATGCTGGCCACCTTTACTTCCCAGGATTGCAGCTGGTACCCATTCAAGACTGGGTCGAACTAGAAGCCAATGTCATTTATGAAAAATTTCCGGCTCTGCCAGGACCCAAATCCATGACCTTCTGATCCACAGGCAAGTATCTAGCGGCTGCACCATGCCGACTCCTGATAAGTAATATTAATGTTTCAAAAGTAACCTGTTCAACCCTCAGAGTTATAACTGGGATGCATAGTGTTCATCGAGTTTCCATAGTATAAATTTGTTTTTTTATGTATATCAGGGGTCTCCGTTGCAAAGTGGTCAAGCCATTTGCCTCGTGCTCTGAAAGTCTTGGGTTTGTTTTACAGCTGTGTCATTCAATTCCTGAGTACCATTTGTATGGAGATCCCTGGGGATCATCACCGGAGCTATGGAGTTTCGTGCTTTGTGCCATGATCTCTGCAGGCGGCTAGCCATTCTGTGGAGAGAGGCCAAGCCATATGGGATCAAACCTGGTGCAATGAAGTCAATCCTCTTGACTTGTAATATCCTCTTGATATGTAATTTGTAATACTAATAATAATAATTATAATAGATATGTAATATGTAAGGGAGAGACGGATATACAGTCAGACAGTTACTGGTGTCATCAGAATTGGAGCTCTTTGTTGCTGCTGAAGATGGGGATGGAGCACTTATGGGAGTGTCCCGAGTGCTATAATGTAGATTCTTAATTCAACATTCAACAGCTATATAATTTGTATTGTTTCAAATACTGCTTCAATTTTATTGTGATTAGTGTGGTCCTAGTCAAATATGCAAGGATGACAAAATTGTGATGATGATGATACAGACAACAACAACAATGTACATGACTATAGCACACCATACATGAATTTAGAGCAGCTCACAAGTCTATCAACACATGTGGCTTTAAATCAACAGCATGACTTTATAACTCATTACATGACTTTAGAACAACACATATAACTTTAGAACGACAGATATAACTCTAAAACAGTACATATAACCCTAGAGCAACAAACTTGACCTTAGAGCAACATACATGTTTCTGGAACAACACAATTGACTCTAGAACAACATACATAATTATGGAACGACACACTAACTTTAGAACAACATACATAATTATGGAACGACACACTAACTTTAGAACAACATACATAATTCTGTAACAACACAATAACTTTAGACCAGCATACATAATTCTGTAGCAACACAATAACTTTAGACCAGCATACATAATTCTGTAACAACACAATAACTTTAGACCAGCATACATAATTCTGTAACAACACAATAACTTTAGAACAACATACATAATTCTGTAACAACACAATAACTTTAGACCAGCATACATAATTCTGTAACAACACAATAACTTTAGACCAGCATACATAATTCTGTAACAACACAATAACTTTAGAACAACACACATAATTCTGTAACAACACAATAACTTTAGAACAACATACATAATTCTGTAACAACACAATAACTTTAGAACAACATACACAATTCTGTAACAACACAATAACTTTAGACCAGCATACATAATTCTGTAACAACATAATAACTATAGAGCAACATACATAATTCTGTAACAACACAATAACTTTAGAACAACATACATAATTCTGTAACAACACAATAACTTTAGAACAACATACATAATTTTGTAACAACACAATAACTTTAGAACAACACACATAATTCTGTAACAACACAATAACTTTAGAACAACATACATAATTGTGTAACAACACAATAACTTTAGAACAACATACATAATTCTGTAACAACACAATAACTTCAGACCAGCATACATAATTCTGTAACAACACAATAACTTTAGACCAGTATACATAATTATGTAACAACACAATAACTTTAGAACAACATACATAATTCTGTAACAACACAATAACTTTAGAACAACATACATAATTCTGTAACAACACAATAACTTTAGAACAACATACCTAATTCTGTTACAACACAATAACTTTAGAACAATATACCTAATTCTGTTAAAACACAATAACTTTAGACCAGCATACATAATTCTGTAACAACACAATAACTTTAGAACAACATACATAATTCTGTAACAACACAATAACTTTAGAACAACATACATAAGTCTGTAACAACACAATAACTTTAAAACAACATACATAATTTTGTAACAACACAATAACTTTATAACAACATACATAATTCTGTAACAACACAACAACTTTAGAACAACATACATAATTCTGTAACAACACAATAACTTTAGACCAGCATACATAATTCTGTTACAACACAATAACTTTAGAACAACATACATAATTCTGTAACAACACAATAACTTTAGACCAGCATACATAATTCTGTAACAACACAATAACTTTAGACCAGCATACATAATTCTGTAACAACACAATAACTTTAGAACAACATACATAATTCTGTAACAACACAATAACTTTAGAACAACATACATAATTCTGTAACAACGCAATAACTTTAGAACAACATACATAATTCTGTAACAACACAATAACTTTAGACCAGCATACATAATTCTGTAACAACACAATAACTTTAGAACAACATACATAATTCTGTAACAACACAATAACTTTAGAACAACATACATAATTCTGTAACAACACAATAACTTTAGAACAACATACATAATTCTGTAACAACACCATAATTTTAGAACAACATACATAATTCTGGAACAGCACAACGACTTTATAACAAAATACAGAATTCTTGATCATAAAAACTCTAGAACTTAGATGAGTTTATAACATTATATATGACAGTATACCCTACAAATGACTTTACACAAACACAGAGTATGTCGTAGAATGTGTGTGAACTTCTTACATATGATAAAATATGGTAACATATCATGTGTAATGGAGTATGTGAGCCTAGTGTGTGTATCAGATTGTGTGTGAACTTCATGTAAGTGCACCTATTGTAAATGGTGCAGTTGACATGAACCTCTTGTACATAGTAGAGTATGTGAACCTATTGAATTTAGTAGAGTATGAGAACCTATTGTATGTAGTAGAGTATGTGCACCTACTGTGTGTAGTAGAGTATGTGAACCTATTGTGTGTATTAGAGCATGTGAACCTATTGTGTGTAGTTGAGTTTGTGAACCTATTGTATGTAGCAGAGTATGTGAACCTACTCTTTTTAGTATAGTATGTCACCTACCGTATGTAGTAGAGTATGTGAACCTACTGTATGTAGTAGAGTGTGTGAACCTACTGTATGTAGTAGAGTGTGTGAACCTACTGTACATAGTAGAGTGTGTGAACCTACCGTATGTAGTAGAGTGTGTGAACCTACTGTATGTAGTAGAGTATGTGAACCTACCGTATGTAGTAGAGTGTGTGAACCTACTGTATGTAGTAGAGTGTGTGAACCTACTGTATGTAGTAGAGTGTGTGAACCTACTGTACATAGTAGAGTGTGTGAGCCTACTGTATGTAGTAGAGTATGTGAACCTACTGTGTGTAGTAGAGTATGTGAACCTACTGTATGTAGTAGAGTATATAAACCTACTGTATGAAGTAGAGTATGTGAACCTACTGTATGTAGTAGAGCATGTGAACCTATTGTATGTAGTAGAGTATGTGAACCTACTCTTTTTAGTATAGTATGTCACCTACCGTATGTAGTAGAGTATGTGAACCTTTTGTATGTTGCAGAGTATGTGAACCTTTTGTATGTAGTAAAGCATGTGAACCTACTGTATGTAGTAAAGTATGTAAACCTACTGTATGTAGTAGAGTATGATGCAGAGAAGAATATAAGAAGCTACACTTTACATTGAGGAACACTAAAGATCTGTCATTTTTTTTTTTTGTCTGCTTTTTTTTTAAAATGGTGACAAAAAACATGGTTCAGGTGAAAGCATTAATTTATTTCCAACAAAAGCAGAACTGCTTCTGTTCACATGCATCTCCTGTGATGAATCAAGTCACGAGCAATCACTGTTCACATGCATCTCCTGTGATGAATCAAGTCACGCGCAATCACTGTTCACATGCATCTCCTGTGATGAATCAAGTCACGAGCAATCACTGTTCACATGCATCTCCTGTGATGAATTAAGTCACGAGCAATCACTGTTCACATGCATCTCCTGTGATGAATAAATCACGAGCAATCACTGTTCACATGCATCTCCTGTGATGAATCAAGTCACGAGCAATCACTGTTCACATGCATCTCCTGTGATGAATCAAGTCGCGCGCAATCACTGTTCACATGCATCTCCTGTGATGAATCAAGTCACGCGCAATCACTGTTCACATGCATCTCCTGTGATGAATCAAGTCACGCGCAATCACTGTTCACATGCATCTCCTGTGATGAATCAAGTCACGCGCAATCACTGTTCACATGTATCTCCTGTGATGAATCAAGTCACGCGCAATCACTGTTTACATGCATCTCCTGTGATGAATCAAGTCACGCGCAATCACTGTTCAGATGCATCTCCTGTGATGAATCAAGTCACGCGCAATCACTGTGATCGGGTGCATAAAGAGACACACACTCAGTTCCAATTTTGTGTCTAGGGACGGGGGGGGGGGGGGGGGGGGGGGGGGGGGGGGGGGGGGGGGGGGGGGCGGTGGGGGGGGTGGGGGGGGGAGGGTTTGTATTTGGGCTGTTTGAACTGTTTTGTATTAGGATCATATGAAGCTCACTATTCTACCTTTCGTTTGGTTTTTTAAATTATTTCATGACAGAGATCTGGTTTTGAATGTCTTATAATCTGTGCAACGAATCACCGATTTAACAAACAGAAGCGCTCGTTGAACACTTTTTGTTACACCTTT